ATATATATATATATATATATATATATATATAGAGGGCTTCAGCCCCCCTAACATAGGCCTAACGATGCCCCTGGTCTCATTTATACATACATTAATAATATGTGTCTTTTCAGGTTATTGGAAGCCCTGAACACCAGTCATGTCAGAGTTGAGTGGGAAGGTCCAGACCGTCCTGGGTCTGGTGGATCCGGACCAGCTGGGCCGCACCATGACCCACGAGCACCTGACCATGACCTTTGAGTGCTGCTACTTCCCCCCTCCTCCGGGCGACGAGGCGGTTGCCGAGAACCCCTTCCAGATGCAGCACATGCACTGGCTGAGACAGAACCCGTACAGCTGCCACGAGAACCTGCTGCTGCAGCAGGAGACCGGCGCCGTGCAGGACGAGCTGCTGGCCTACAGGAAGGCCGGCGGGGGCGCCATAGTGGAGAACACCACCACGGGCATCGACCGAGACCTGCCCACCCTCAAGCGGCTGGCCGAGAACACCGGGGTCCACATCATCGCGGGGGCGGGCTACTATGTGGACTGCACCCATACTGAGGCCACCAAGAGAACCAGTGTGGAGAAGGTGAGCCCCAGTTTGGCCACAATCTGGCATGCATGGCACCGGTACTGATTGTCTCAGTCATGGGACAGGAAGAACATCCTGCTGTAATTTGTTGTGCTGACAATTTGATACATCTCTCATTCTGTGTTTCTATTCAAGGATTTCTTCTGCATCTGTTGATTGATTCGAACGGGTTTTCCGGCTGCTCCGTCTGGCCCTTTTGTAGTGACGCACTGAGGATGTGCATGTAATCTTCATGGATGTTTAGATATTATCGCTCAAACCTAACAGGCTCTGTTCATGTGCCGTTGAGGCCTGTTGAAGAGACGGGAACTAAAAAGGCAGAAAAAGAGTCGTTAAATAGTCTCAAAGTGTCCTCATTTCCTGCCCGGCAGCTCACGGACATCATCGTCGGCGAGGTGCTTCACGGCGCCGACGGCACGGACATCCGCTGCGGCGTGATCGGAGAGATCGGCACCGGCTGGCCCATCACGGAGAGTGAGACGAAGGTGCTGAGGGCCACAGCCCACGCTCAGACCCGCCTCGGCTGTCCCGTCATCATCCATCCTGGTAGGAACCCCGCAGCTCCAACAGAAGTAGTCCGGATTCTCCAGGAGGCCGGTGGTGACATCAGCAAAACTGTCATGTCCCACCTGGACAGGTGAGAAGTCCCTGAGAGCAGTTACTTCAGGAGAATAAAGGGATTTTTAAACAGACTTTTTATTAGTTACAATCACAATTAGGGCGACCTTTCCCGTGAGCCTCACTACTTCCTGTCCCACATCCCCTCCCTGACATTTATGTTTCCCATTACTAAAAAACGAAATGTGTAAAAAACGATTCATTTCACCATCTCCCACGTGAACATCTCTCTAGCTCTGTATATACTGGAGGAACAACAGCTCTCTTCCTGTTTGGTGTCACAAGACGATCCGGCAGATTTTCCTCGTACTCTGGCAGTTACAGGCTTCTCCTTGCTGACTGGGAGCATAATAATGTTACGCAGTCGTTGCCTTCTAATGTATTAATGTGAAAGAATTCTTCTGAAGTTGGCGCAGATCACACTCTTAGCTAAAATGAGGCTGGTGTTTCCTGCATTGGAGAGGGATACCACTCATCACAGAGCTCATAACTGATGATGTCCAACCAAACCATTTGTTAGATCTGCTTTTCATGACAACTTGTTTTCGTCACTGCCGTGTTGTCCACCCTCCTTTTTAAATGAACTTCCTCTCTTCTCTTCCTGCAGGACCATATTTGATGACGGTGAACTGCTTGAGTTTGCGAAGCTGGGGAGCTACCTGGAGTACGATCTGTTTGGAACGGAGATGCTGAACTACCCGTATGACCTGGAGCTGGACATGCCCAGTGACAGCCAGAGAGTGAAGACGTGAGCAACACCGGTCGAGGGTTAAAACGTGTCGTATCAGCGTTCTTTTCTGATTAGATGTGCCGTGTTGATGTGTCCTCACATGACATTATGTTTGACCTCAGCCTTCAAATTTGAGATCAGATGCATTTTCAATTTTCTATGATGAAGTCCCATAATATATTCCTTCATATTAATGTCTGTCGAGCCACATCAGGTGTAAATAGTTTAGAGGAAAATGCTGCTTTTGTGTTTTACAACCATGAGGAGAGGAGAGCATGTCCTACAGGTTGTTGTTTTTTTCCACTGATCTCCCACTGCAGTGGAGGGAGGAGTGATGAATGACCCACATCTTAGACGGCACATACAAAAAAAAAAAATGGTTTAACAACACGTGAAGGCAGACTGGCAATGACAGTATGTTCTCTACCAAAAGTTGGCAGCTGTGTTGTGTTTAAGGCCCCTCGTTTTTTCGTTTACGCTCAGCTTGGCGTTCCTCGTGAAGGAGGGCTACGGCGACAAGATATTGGTCGCACACGACATCCACACCAAGAACCGCCTCACCAAGTACGGCGGCCACGGCTACTCTCACATCCTGAGGAACATCGTGCCGAAGATGCTGATGAGGGGCATCTCGCAGCAGCAGGTGGACGAAATCCTCATCGACAACCCGAAACGCTGGCTGACCTTCAAATGAAGCAGGAAGAGAGAGCCAAGGAAGGCGTCTCGATGTATCGATTGTTTTATCTTCAGGCGATGAAATCAATACTTAAAAGTTCTTTGCAATAATCAGAGCCAAACTCACTTATAAATGTGCTTTAGGGACCTCAAACCAATGAGCTGTTGTGCATAAATTTGTCTTTAATGTCAATGTTCATCAAATTTCTGAGCGTAGCAAAATGTTTAGTATAATAATTAACAGGCTGTTTCATTCAGCTGAAAGAGTTTTTACAGAGGCCCTCGTTAATTAAAACTTGATTTCCTATTTGTGATTATATTATTCACTTTGTAAGCGAATAATCCGGAGGAGCATCTCGGGATCAGTGCATCTCATTAGCATTCTTGTTTTGGTCCCATTTATGTCACATAAATAAATAGCTTTTTCTTGCCTGCATAAATGCGAATTGCACTCTAAAACAAATATTGTCCCTTTTCTTGCAGCGCTCACAAATGTGGCGCTAATTGATTTTTCAATGTCAATGTGTCGTTGCTTTGTCTTTGTAGGTGTCTTTGTTTGGTGTCTGCGAACCACGTTTTTATGGGATGAAAATAACGAGCGCGTTAGTAATCAGTATGCCGCTCTGCTCTCGACACAACGCGGCTGTGTTGGATGAGTTGTCCTGTTGCCCCTCAGTGGGTGTCTGGCTGCCTATGGGAGGCTGGCTGGATGAAGGACACGTTCTCCTCTCATCTGGGAACAGGTGGCCTCACAAGGGGGGGGGACTTCACCACATGATCAATGGCGTGGTCGCCCCGCAAGTGACTGTGCTCCGTGAAAAACTATATAACTTTGATCAATCTCCTGAGAGGATTAAAAAAAAAAAAAAGTGAGCCAGAGAATTTAATTTCCCATGATATTTTTACACATCAACTGGAGAGGGCTTCACAATCAAGGAAACATTTCAGTTGCAACTGTCCAGTTTTGTGATGGTGACCAAGCACCAGACCACCCTGTTGCCCCCAACCAGCTGTCACATTGAGACAAGAAGTATGAGTTACAATGATGTTGAGACGGTGCTTCAATATGAACATCAGAATGGCCCTTTACAGAAGTGTTTCTTATGCTGCACAGAGTTGAAATGTCTTTTTTATAATCATGCATCACTACGACTTTGAACATTTTCACTCAAAAGGCAACAAATATATTTTTAAAAATAAAGCACACATGGACTAACTACACTGTGAACACAGTGGTTGTGATGTGAGTATAATTTTTGCATCTATTAAGTCCACACTCGGTATGTTACCACAGCAGAATATGTTTGACATATCAGCGAACTTAATTTGTAAAGCTAAACAGTTCGTCCAGAGTGCATTAGTGACACTAATCAATGTGACACGGGTACATTTCACACTTCAACATTCATTATCATTATTCTGTAGTGACACTGTAAGCTCTTGGGCTTTTGCAAAGTACAGTTTTTTTTCTTCTGCATGACGTCCTCCACGTCTTTCTGGACTCTTTTTGCTGTATGGAAATGATGTAGCTCTGCCTCCAGTAATCCAACTGACACTGAAGTGAGCATGAGCAGTGAAGCGAGCTATGTGCGGAGTGGATGTTCCGTGTTTCAGTCAGCGTACAGCATGAAGCCGGAGAAGGTGCTGTACTTGTTGTTGTTGCCCCCGTGCGCCTTTCCGCCGTCCAGCTTGATGTAAATCTCGTCCCCGGGCTCGAGGTGCAGGACAACGCTGTTGCTGGCGTAGTCGTAGTTCTGATCGGCATCCTGGGCGATGGCGCTGGCTCTCACCTGGAAGGCAAAATGGACATTTCTGCTGATGAAACGGGTCTTTAGTTTCAAAATCAGAACCGCGGACAGCTCCGTCAATGACGACAGTTTCATCTCGAACCTAAATCAACCATCAGACAGCTTCACTGAATGTTTTAACTGTCAGGAAAATGTATTCTTTCCAGGTAAAACCGCGCGTAAAACCTGTGCGCAAAATGCGGGAAGCAGGCTACACATTTGTTCATCAAATGATAGCTTTTCGCGCTGTATCATAAACAACTTTTTAGTCATTATGAAACCACGACTAAATAGTAAAGCTAAAACAAATCGAACAATTGTTACACAATTATGAAGCGTCCTACCTGGTTGTTCTTACAGAGGTCAGCCCACATGCTGGTTCCATCTCCGCCTCGCATCAGCACATGGTAAACAAAGAAGTAAATCCCCGGTATTGAGCAGGTGAATTTCCCTGAAGATGGGTCATAGTGGTTGCCCAGATTCGTGACTACGTCGTCGAATTTCAGCACTTCATATCCCTCGTGCTGCTTCTTCAGTCCGGCGTAAAACGCGATCTTTGGGATCGTGTTGTAAGTGGCAGCGCTGATGGCACCGTTAGGCCCATTTGCTCCAGGTGTTCCGGGTGGACCCGGTGCCCCCCTCTCTCCGGGCGGACCAGCAGGTCCAGGTGGCCCGAGCTCGCCAACCGGACCCCTCGGACCCATCCTCCCGACGCGTCCCGGCTCTCCTTGAGGACCCTGGATGAAGGTTGGAAGAGACTGAACCAGGCGGTTGTCTTTGACCGGGTTGGTTGCCTTGGCCGTGGCCGTGGCCGCGGTCCCGTGGGAGTCGCACACCATTTGACAGGACCCGAGCATCTCGTAGCGGGCAGGGGTCCCGGCGGAGTTCACCACGACCGGGATCAAGACCACCAACACCAGCACCAGCGCAACACCGCAAACACCAGTTGCGATCATCTGCGCTCTGCGGATTCGCTGTGTTCTCCGGAGTGGATGGTCTTCCAGCCTGCTTGTGGGTGATATTTTTGTAGAGGGAAGAATTTCACCTGCTCTTGTGTTGTACCGCGACTTTTGGAGATAAAATAGTCCTTTAAATGTTTATGCGTAAAAGTAACCATCCACAACTTTTACGCGCTGCAGTATCCGCCCAATTGATTCATCTCCACTTTGTCACTGCTAGAACAACAACAACAACAACAACAAAACACTTCCCGAGAGCAAAAAAATACACAACCTGCGTTATATGGTTCTGTAGCACAAAGGCAGCTGCCCAAGTTTCTGCCCACCGTGGTGTCACAGGAGAGAATGGGCTAGAAACGAACCGTTGCCCAATTGTGTGTGTTGAGAGTGAGGGGAGGGGTGGAGGTGATGGATGGGATAGCATCCATCCATTTCTTCAATCAAAAGAGAGATAGGGAAATGTATTCAAACACTGTTGCAACTTTAAAGCTCTGAAACGTGACTGCTTTATTTATTTTGTGTATTTGTTTGTGGAGTCAGGGAGCTACTTTAATTATTTTCAACAGGGTTTTACTTTTTCTATTGATGCCCGTATAGTGTTACATCCCACAACATGTTATTAGAACTCACCCACACGGCTCTAAAGGTCTTGAGCATAATTAGGCCCATTAAAGACAAAAAGCTATACTCTGTTGGCACCTGGTCACACCTCAGCGGCTCCCTGTGTCCAATTTATCACAACGAGAAAATCTATAGAGCCACTGGAAGGAAGGACGGAGTAACTATCTGGCAGTGAAGGATGACTTCACACAATTATACAGGTGAAATTAATGAATGCGGAGGCTTTTAGATGGCAAATAGGGTGAGATCAGTTAATTAATTACCAATTGGAATTGGAAGTTAAAAACCTAAATTGTTATTTGTAATATTGTAATTTTAGCCTAAATATGTCAGATTTAGTCAAATTTAAACTGAATGTTCACTTATTTATTAAATGTTTCAAACAATCCATTGATTTCTAGGATTTAAAACAAAATGTCTTGTCCACATAAAACTTCAGCACAGTGGCCTCTGTGAGGGTTGAGTGATGAAGGGCTAATTCTTGTTGAGGGGGGCAGATGATGATGTGCTCATGAATGCAGAGGCTGTCACTCTCTGTCGATGGCACCTCGCTGCCAGGTGGAGAGATAGATGAAGAGCAAGGAAAAATACAGATAGTCTTGTTTGTTTGGGAGGAGCAAGGCTTTGATTGCAGCCCGAATGAGATTCTGTGAAAGTCACAAATGCAACTGAGTCGTGCTCCTAAAAAGTGCCCAAAAGAACCGTTGACACTCTTATGAAGAAAGAGTTAAAGGGGCTGTAAATGAACAAATAATGAGCTGTATTAGAAGAAATTGTTCAAATGCAATATGTAAATGTGAGAGGAAGAGAGAAGGTTGTACTGTAAGATACAGCTTGTTCCATACATGCCAAGGACAATCTTTGGTGATCACCTGGCTTTTTCTCTTGTGACACTATGAAGTTTGTGGTTTTGAGTGAAATCTCTTGACAACTATTTGATGGGCTATAGCAGTTGTTAAACACATTCATGTCGCCCTCAGGATGGATTATAATACATTTGTTTTTATCACCAACATCGGGTCAAATTGACAATTTGTCCATTATATGCCTGTGATGCCAATTACAATCCCCTCAGCTGTAATTTGTGTTTATGCTAATTAGCAAAATGCTATAAAGATAGTATGCTAACATGCTAAATATACTGTAGATGTGAATATGGTAAACATTGTACCTTCTAAATATCAGCATGTTAGCATGCCATTGTGAGCATGTTAGCATAGTGGATGTCAATTAGCATGCTGATTTAGTGCAAATTGCAAACAAATTTTAAAGTTTGTAACTAGTCTTACATCAATGGATGCCAATAATTAAGATAGGACATGTCAGAGAAAATCTCTTTTACTATTCCCCACAAAGAAGAAAAATGTTTTTATTGGTCGTGTTGATATATTTTACTTTCTTCCCAGTATTTCCTGGTTTCATTTTGTTTAATTCATAGATTTTTATTATAGCCGACAGTAGTTTGTGAGGGCACCGCACCTGATTTTAAATTTCTAAAAGGGCACACATTTTCTGTGGGCTTGGTGTAAAGCGAGAAATAGAATAGTGTTTAATAGAATAGTATATATAAAGACACGCACGCACACTCACGCACGCACAGACACAGTGGGACATACTGTGGTGGCTATGAGTCAGTGAGCACTTGTTAGTGGCCAGGCTCTTTCCCTCCAGTTGGCACGAGCCTCCAGTGACTCAGGGAGACTTGTCGACCAGGAGCCAGAGTGAACAGCAGTGTCAAAATCCACCAAAAGCTGTGGGAAGAAGACACACAACTTGTATCAGAAAGCTTTTCACAGTATCGCACCAAATGAATCAGTGTGCTCTTTTTTTTTTAATTTCTGTTTTAAAAAATGGGTGCAAAGTTGACTTCCATCACTCTTCAGATCTTAGTTACTCAGCTCACCTCGGCTGCCGTATGGAAGAATTCCTCTGGTGGTGGAGAGTCCTGACAGGTCTCGACTTTGGAGTTCATTTACAGCCAGTCAGGCACGAGTCCTGGGGGAGCCTGATGATTTTTGACATCCGGACAAGCAGATGTTCAGAGGACATGAATAAAACATACGGCCCATCTGACCACAGACCGAAGACTTTCAGAGTGTCTAATGAAATATGAGGCGGGATTTCAATTCGCAAAAAAAAATCCCTTTGTCAGATCAGCGTGATGCGGCATGAAATATGTATGGCATTTATGTAGCCTGACCTGCGTGGCTAAGCAGGGTTCAATTGTGTTCATGACAATCAAAGCCGAGACAGGTTTGTCAAAGAATGTATGTGGTGAATGGGAAGGGAAACTGAATGGACCTCTTATTACCAGCCAAGAATATAAACAGAAATATTATGTGACCAGTGACACTCAAGTGTTTATCAACTGATAAAACAGCATGTGTGCCGGGCCAGCGATAAGATGCATGTCCCTTAGTAATTTTCACACCTCCTGGTCGTTCAGAATTTGAGTGTTTATTTTCCTTTTTCCAAAGAAAAGCCAGTGAATAGGCTGGGCTCAACAGTTCAGCTCAGCAGGGGGCCGGTAACAGAATGCATTACCACACCACCCACTCAAAGCTGGTCCTGTGCTGTATTTAAGATGGAGAAGCAATCACTAATCATACAGGGTGGGACTTAGGTTTCACCCTGGAGAGCAGTGAAAATCAAGGCGATTGTTCGGTTTGATTTCATCATTTGCCTTTAGTTAAAACATGGGGTTGGCAACCTTTTTGAGGTGAAGTGCCATTTTTAATTTTCTTGTTAATCAGTGAGCCATATCAACGTTAACGTTCACACTAAGTTAAATCACGACGCCACATCGTGATTTGAAATCTCCAAACGGATCTGTAATTTTGTTCCATCCATTGAGGCAACATGCGTAGCAGCATGTAAACAACATGCTCCCATAATCCTTGTAATTATATATGAACGAACCAAACAAGAAGGCTGCCATTGATTTTGAAAACATCCACATCTGAATGACAATGGTGGCACACGTGCCTGAGATTGACTCTCCTTGCTTTAAAACCCATGTTTTGGTTTGTGTGCATGTCCTTGAGTCTTTTCATTCTTCTTTAACATTGTGGGACGGTTCTCTGTGTTCTTGTGTGGATTCCTGAAATAATTCACTTAATTCTGATTTGTAAATGAATACAAGCAATGAGTGAAGTCTCAAAATACTTTTATTGTTAATGCTTTCCCCACGAGTGAGGATGTATTAAAAATGCATTTAAAAAAATATGAATTAAATAAGAAATGATTGTGGATTTCTGGCGTCTCTGAGGGTAAGCTCGCCCCTGCTCTCGTGTTTTGACTGCTCACAATACAACTTTATGTATTGCACCCTGGAATACAGGATTACAACAAAGGATTATAACAAAACCAAATCCCCCGTGCAACAAAAAAAAATAAGTAGATTGATTTTCATGGAGATGTCAATCGATGCACCGTTTCGCTCACGGCGTCAGCAGGCGGAGTGTCACATTTTCTGCCGATGAGATTGAGCGGCAGCGAGGGGCTTAGTGGCAAATACAATCGAGGAGTGTAAACATACTGAGGGCCGCAAGAGGCCGATCAATGCCTCCAGTCTGGGATTGATTAATTACCCCAAAAAAGAGACTGAGGTGTGAGGACACCAGAGAAACCTGATCAGAACAAGATTTATAACCCAATCTCAGTATCATCACTCCCTCCCTCTCACTGTTTTCTCTTTTCTTCCTTTGTTTTTCTAAAACTGCCCTTTTCCATTGACTGACTTGAGCATGTCATGTTGAAAGTGTGAATGACTTCTTAAAAGTCCTGTATAGGACGTTGAGCTCATTAATGTAGCAGCAAACAGCTATTATCTATGTAAATATATAATGGAGCAATGTCTACATGAGCAGAGAATGAAGTCGCTCTCCCCCTTTGTGAGTGTTGTTATCCCAAATTCTTTAGCTGTGTTGCCAGCCGGGCATGTTTTTAGTGCATGTTAGTGCATGCCCCACTGAGTAGCTAACGGCCAACGAATGAATGAATGGTAACCTTAACCTACATTTTAGAAGGATGAAGGCTGCAAATGTGACCCACTAATATCAACAACAAATAAAGAGGCCTGTGAAGTGATTGATTCTGTTAATTGTGAGATCTATTGAAAATATGCATCTTTTAACTCATTTAGTAATGGAAGAAACATTAGTGCATCAAAATAAGTTATTACATCAAATAAGTGCCACGAGAGAGTTCATTTTGTTTGCTTGTTTCAAAGGTCAAGAATGAACTCTTACACTTAATTTCAGATGTGCAGCCCTCACATAATATAATGCTAAAAAATAGCAATAGAATTAAAGCAACATTTTCACAACGGCCGCAACATTTTTGTGGTTTTATTTTCAGTGGAATGTAAAAAGCAATAGTTTGAGATTTTGGAAAATACGCTTATTTGCTTTTAGGGTGGTTATCTTCCAGACTAGCAGTAACTTCCTCTACTATCTCTACTGGTTGCCTGGCAACTGCTCAGGGCCAAAAAGTAATTTAATTAAATGTATTTGTATAGCCCAAAATCACAATTCACATATTTGCAATCTGTACAGAATATGACATGTCCCAGGACACAGAAAAAACCTTTACCGGTAAAAGAAAAAGTAAGAAACCTCCAGGAGAGCAACAGAGGAGGGATCTCTCTCCCAGGATGCCCAGATGTGCAATAGATATCATGAGCAACATAATAGAATTACAACATAGTCAATCCATAAATTATACATATGACGAATGACGAAAGCAATAGCGGTAGTAGCACTAATGATAGCAGAATAATAATAGAAAAATTATAAATACTAATAACAGCAGTAGTGGATGTAATATAATAATGTTAAGCGATTTTGGAAATCATGGACATATCTTACCCAACGTGGCTCTGTATAAACCTTCCTGACATGATAAACCCTCCAATCCATTCACGCAAAAAATTTAAAATAAACAAAACCAATATCATGGTAAGAAAAGGCAAATCCTCTCGCTTCCAGATTAAAACCTTAACCTTTCACATTTTATCCAGATATGCTTTTTAAAGTAATAACCTTAACAAATGTACTTTTTCACATTTCTGGGAATTTGGGGTTTTACAGCTGTTCAACATGGTTGGCATTTTATAAGTTGATTTAATTGATTCCAGTAGGTTAAAATGAGATAACTTTTTTTTCATGAAAGGAAAATGTGTTGAGTTTTAGTTGTTGAACGGTTTGAGTGAAAATAATTAAGAGTTAAGGTATCGAATATCTTTAGAGTGAGTCTTTGGTGACATTTTCTGTGGAATCGCCCTTCATTTCCTCACTAAATGCCAGCCAAAGTTTGAGCCAGATAATAGACTCTTATGGTCATTACTGTACACAAATACAGAGTAATGAACACAATATAATCAACTCACAAACGGTACCGAGTCTCAATAACCTGCTCAGGTCGGTCACATGAAGACACGTTGAGTAAAGGCTGGTGATTCTCACAACCATAGGTATGCACATGACAGCGCTGCTGCCTGATGCATGACTGTCTGTCTGTCGCCTTACACCCTCACCCGAACTAATGATGACCTTTGATTCCCAAAAGATGTCAGGAGATAAGAGGAGAGGAAAAAAACCCAAACGCACCCAATTAATTTAGGGTGAAGAGGACTAAAATGTGTGAGCGCGTCATGCTGCTGGAGTGACTGGCGAGGAGCTCCAGGAAAGACAAGGCTCAGTATAATTAGGATTCAGGAGAGCCATTGTCAAAGATAATTAAAGCTGACAGCCACTGTGGAGTAGAGAGGAAGAGAGCAGAAAACACCTTCAAACTACATGCTTCAATTTAACACTTTCTACATAGTCTTTCACTCTCTATACCTCACCCACACACACATAACCTGCGCTACCATCCATCATCCCAGCGTGCTCGGAAACTGCATACTAGGCGATAAAATAGATGACAGATTAATAGAGACAATAAAAGCTGCTGTTGTATCTAGGTGACAGTTTCAGCAGACAGTTGCCCCTCTCACAGATGTGTGTGACATCTGGGGAGCAACCTCACTCTTTTATTGCCAAAGTGGAGATTGTCTGCATTAGGCCTATTTGGCTAATAGCCTCTGCTAACGAGAATTAATCAATAAATTGGATTAGCACATAATCTTTAACTGTTCAAACCCTTCTTGTACAAAGAATAATGGCAGACTACTTTGCCGGGAGGAGAGCAAACAGGAGCTCCAGCGAGGACGGTTGGCTAGTAAGCTAGCTAGCTTGTCCATCTACAGAGCTGATTAGTTAGCGAGTGACGCACAGCCGGCACGGTATTAGCCCACACCATGCTCACAGAAGGGAGTTCCACAGTATGACGGATTAAATTAGACACAGGTGAGACAGTGCTAATATATAGCATATTACTACAGTTATTTTTTTTACTGTTGCTGCGTGGAGCAGCCATCTTGGATTTTGAGGTCGGGGTTTGTCTGATTTTCCAAGTTGGAAATCAGACTTCAGGCAGAGTTCCAGTTAAAACTTTGACTTCAGACTTAAAATGGAATGCAGCATGCCTTCATTCTCTGCTCAGGACGCCATTACGAGACCAAAACATTTTACTCACATTCGCATGGCGGCCTGAAACAGGGCTCCAAATGAATGCTAATGTTGCTCTGCATTTGGTGGATGGATACAAAACAACTTGCAGAACGTGTTTGCCCCAACTCTGTAAGGTGGTATGTCAATGTTTCCTTTCCAGTTGGTTCGGCTGCCCCCAAGTGGCCAAAAAAATAAAATAAAGAAATAAAATAATGCAACCCATCGACATGAGGCGACCTCTATTGAGAGCAAGTGAAATGGGCGCAGAGTTAATTACTCGACTTTACATAGCAACATCAATCACAAGTTTGCTAAAATTACTCAGAAGCTACTGGTCATACCAGACCAAATAAGGCCGTAGCAGCAAAATCCCTGGGTGTAATAATGAGTTGAGCAAGGGTTGCTCATTAATTCAACTTGTAAGTGGTGAACTGTCTTACTTGCTTTCTGTCAAAAAGTACGTAATCTCACGTTAATTTAAACCCAATGTTTTTTAAAATGAGTAACATTTTGAGAGTGAAATATTCTCCTTTGGCCTTCAAGTTTAATAATTACAGAGATGGAAAATGACTAATCACTGTATGCTTATGTTGCAAAACTCCTCTTGCCCAATCCGTCCCTTAATGAAAGTATGAGATCTGTAACGTAACACCTTCATGTGGTTGAAATTAACCACAGTGCTTTCATAAGTTTTCCATAAACGTACTCTCTAAATAAAAACTGTAAAAAACATCCAATTGCTCTTTCTAAAATAACGAGACATAATATCGACTTCTACATTTATTTTTATTTCACAAAATCACCTTTGAATCATCATGCAAATGGCGACTGTTCGGCATATTCTCCCTGTCAACTACTGCCTGCGGGAATGTAATATTTCAACCAGTTGTACTAAAAGGTTTTAAGCAGCACTACCCTTTCCTTCAATTGTACCTTTATATTTTAGCTTGGTATTCATAAAGACAATTCATTTCTCATTCGAAAATACGCATTTACAGTACATATATCCTTCAAAGTTCAAACCACATTTTTCAAATCAAACTTCACACACGTCTCTGAAATCATTTCTTCATGTCCAGTTTTGTTTTCTAGCAAAGCCTTGAAAAGCGTCTGTGAATGTCTCAATGAGAGGAGTATAAATGCTGAAGTGCGTCATCACAGAGACCACCAGAGCCGTGGTAGGAAAGGCACTTATTAGAGTTCTTTTTGTTTTGGTTGATGGTTTCCTCCCTTTATAAATAAGAGGAAGAGACGTGGCAATTTAAGAATACTGCTGTAGGAATTTCTGGTGGAACTCCTTGACTTTGTTCAGCAGGATCGTCAGCTTGTCTTTCGGTGGCAAGATGGTCATTCTGGAAGGGAGAGGGGAAAGAAAAGAAAGAAACATTAACTGTGTGACTGAGTGAAGCAGCGAGAGAAGACGCCTCGGCTAAGAGTTAAAGAGTAACATAGATTTTAAAGAATCGCTTGAGAATTAACTCGGAAAGTAATTCAATAATGGTTATGCGTTATGGTACGTTTCAAAATGACAATCATCCTCTTCCTTAGAGACATTTTCAGACATAGAATATGAGACATTGATGGCTTCATCAAACTGTTAAAGTGATGCCTTTTTACGTCTTTTACATAAATGTTTCTTACAGCTTCATTCCCATATGACAGGACATTTCAGGAAAGGGTCACAACTTCTCTACGATATTTCATCCACACAGTTGGCATGAATGAAAATAAATAACATTGGGAGAGACTGTTGGTCAGATTATTAATGTAAGATAGTTTTTATTTTTACCTCTCGTGACTTTGGCGCTCATAAAATTGCAGTCAGATTGACATTAAGAGATGATGTCTGAAAGGGGCTTTAATGTCGACCTCACGTTTATTTTCCAGCAAAAGAATAATCACCAACATGAATGCTAAAAAATCTACTGAATTTTGTACTGTTGGTCAGACAAATAAAGCAATTTGAAGACATCAACTTTGGCATGAGGACAATATGTATTTATTTAAATATATATATATATATACATATTTACGTATGTGTAAATATAGTGTGTAGTGTTCTGTACCTGAAGTGGTAGGTTCCCTCCTTCTGACCGAAGCCACTTCCGGGTACGAGGCAGATGCCCGTCTCCTCCAGCAGCTTCATGCAGTAAAACATATCTGGCTGCTGACCTTTGTCCTAACGGAGAGGAAAAGAAACAGTATCGCGCTGTTTGAGGTTTCACATTCTGGTGTCATGGGACTATTAAAGTAGCAAGTGTTGGATCAAGAATATTAGCTACTTAAATAATGATATAGCAGCGTAGCACTGTAGCTATGTTTGTAACTTAATACTGTGACTTACAGCATAGCCTTCATACGAAAAGTACTGCATGTACTTTTTTCCAGACGTCCCACTGAGCAGCTTTATTTATTATTTTCTTCCACTACATTCATAACTTAAATTTACTATAAAGGACTTTCAATGTGTAGAAAATCAAATCTATTTAAAGCAGAACCGGACCAAATGAACGCAGAAACATCTCTTTGTAACGAACAGTATATTCCTGTACTTCTACATTGTATCATACAACCGGTAACTTGATATCTTATGAAAAGCTATTTGTTATTCTTGGAGTGCTTTTCTACAGTGTGTGTATCTATGAGAACAGCTTGATTTCTGACATAAATATGGGTGATAGGCTAAATCTAATTTTACAGAGCTTATATTTTTCCTCTTTTATATTGTATTCTACAGTTTCATGGCAACATTTCTCTCCCGTTCACGTGTTTCAGAGTTATGTAGCACAGGTGCCCTTCAGAATTCAAGACTTTTTCTCCGGCAGTCGGCTAAAAGGATAACCGAAGGTTGAGACTAAAAAGAGAAGAGTACCAATTTGAGGTAAAAAAAAATATTTAAAACATGATTTCCTTTAGATCAAAAGCTTTTGTAAAACCTTTTTGAATCCCTTTAAAAGTATCTCAGCCCTTACAAGTAGCAGAGTATTGAGATCCAGCTCAATGGACTGCACATCGGCACCTCTATTTAACCTGCCAATGGTGTAATATTGAATGTCGCTAAAGAAGCTCTCTCCTTGAGCCTCCTTTTTGGGAAAAGCAAAGCCAAAAACAAAGCAAGGCTACAACTGTGTGGTGAAGATGGTGAGCAGAGCCCCTGGGAATGATCAGGTGTCAGCAGGTCAGCTGGACTCCGACCTTATCCTCTGCAAGGATAACCAGATAATCAGATGTTCGGTGGCTCGACTCATCAGCCCTCCCTGGAAATTCTACTGAGCAGTGAACCTTGGGACAAAATCGAAACCACAAGCTATTGGAAATCAAACTAAATGGTTGGTGAATGCACAGCGTAGGGAACCTAATTAAAAGGGTTACTTAATCAAGCACAGCGGGAAGTACGAGATGTTGGTCTTGTGTTTTCTGCAGGTGTATTTAATGCCAGCAGTGGAACACGTGTATTAGTGGAACAAGAGCTGTTGAGGCCATGGATAAAAATAATAAGTGAAATAATAACGGACCAAATGATAAGTAGACTAGTGAGAGTGATGAGTAAAAATTCTTCTTCAACTATATATTTGCTTCTCATCAATGTAGTTTCCTTGAAACGACAACACAGTCAAACCTGAAACATTGAAATTGTTATGAGAGAATGCCGAGGACTGACCGTGGCCTCTTTGACGGCCTTTTCGGGGATGGTTATGCAAGGGAAGGAGTACATGGCGCCCTGCACAGGATTGCAGCTGATGCCTTGAACGGTATTGAGGACCTGCTCTGTAAGCGCGGCCTTCTCTGCTAAGGCACTTAACGTGGCCGTGCGCTCCTGGATGAGGGAGAGAGAGAAGAGAAAATGCACGAAGAAAAGAGAAAAGAAAAAGAAACCAAAGAGGGATGTTACTAGAATCTGAAAACACCAACGCACAGTTAAACTATGGCCAACTGTTTCTCTGGCCTTCTCTCACAAAGTTGTCTGCTTGAATTTCTCCAGACTTCTGTGAGCTCCACGAGACTGAAGAATAGCCAGTTATTGCACAGCAAGTGTAAACAGATCATGTGAAGGCAGTGAGGTAACCAAAGAACCTTTTCGCAACCTACAAGGAGGTAATGAGGGGTTCTCAAAAGTTACGTATGCTACTATTTAAAAAAATGTTCTTTGCGCGTGGTTTTACTCACGATAACGCTTTTGCGATACATTGACCATGATAATAGTCAAGTTGATGGAAAAAAAGGACTTATTTTCCCTTATAACAATAATGTAACAGGATATAATGCATGGACATTGCACTGCATATTCATTTCTGAGATTTTAGATAAGACTGTAACTAAGCTTGCATACAGTCGAGGCCATTACAACACAAATAGTATTTCAGATTGTCTTATAATTAGTCTAAGAGAAAAGTCAAACCAGCCCATAAACAATAGCATTCTACGCGTATCTTGTTGCAAACAGAATGTCCAGTATAATGATACCGGTGTGAGTGTATTGATAATGTACAGGAGAGCATGTTGCAATATATTTCCGTTTTGATTCATTTGTCCTGCTTGTGGGATGTCGACTCTGTACCTTGATGAATTTCTCATGTGAGGGTTCACCGGGCTGCGGCGGGTTGACCACCAGGTCCATGAGAGCCTGTCCAGGAACAGGGGGACACAGACGGACAGACACCAGCTTGGACAGCTGGGCCTTCACGTCATCGTCCATGTTGAGGATCTCCATGTAGCCTCCGCGGAAGCCACACCTGAGAAGGGAGAGAAAACATTAGGATGTGACACAAAAAAAAAAAAAAAAAAAAGGAAACATAAAAAGACAGAAGGTTATAGAAAACACAAAGAGCTGGTTGTCAACATTTTAACAAGGTCTGGCTGATTCATCCCCAGCATGCAATTAAAATGACTTACTCTCCCATGTAACATTTGGAGGTTGAGTGGAAGGATGCCAGTTCCACTGTGTCTGAGTACTCTGGCCCCATGTCAAACAGAACCTTCTTAAAAGAGTGGAACTGGCAACCGTCAGCATACACATTATCCTGGTACACCTGGCAGACGAAGACAGAATGGCGGATGTCACAGTGCGCAGAAAACAATAAAGCAGGCAGATGTGGAAAGTGATGCAGAGACAGTACCTCGTCAGCCATGAGGAAGAGACGCTCCTGTGCGGCGAATCGGATTACGTCCTCAATGCACTGTCTGCTCTGAACCTGACCTGTGAATGAGAAGGAGGCTCATTAAGGAGAAAGGTTTTGAAGCGGTGGTTAGCCAGGCTGTTGTGTCCATTTGCTGCCATCTAGTGGCTCCTCCTGCAGTAGTATAAGAACTGTGTGGTGATAGAGATACAAGGGAGGAAACACAATGTCTACTCCTCATGCAGAAAGGATATGATTTTAAGTAACCTCATTCCTGGTAGACCTGTGCTTTAAGCTGCGTTTCATTCCAGAAAAATGTCCTTTAATTCCAGTCTCTTTCTCCGTAAACTATCCGAAAAATGGCCCCAAAATAATCTATTAAAAGTATATAAGTCTTTCAAATTAAGGCCCAATCATCTGTGACTACATTAGAGATGCATCAGTACAATAACTGCTTAATTGACAAAAAAAAAAAGTCCTTCATAATTATTGTGTTCTATCTCCTAAAACTGACACAGCTTGATCATCTGGAGCGCTCAACGAGAAGATTCAATATGTGAAAATACCGACAACCACTAAGAATCTCGTCACTTTGACCAAAACCTTACCGGTGGGGTTTCCGGGGTTGATGATGCACAGGGCTCGAGGGTTGCAGTGGCGCCGGGCCTCATCCAGGGCACGCTGCAGCTCACTGATGTCCAGACTCCAGCACTTCTCCTCGTTGAGGTAGTAGTTGATCTGCACGGCGTCCAGTTCGGTGAGCGTGGCCGAATACAGCGGATACTGAGGTATGGAGATCATGACGCCTGTACGGGACGCGCCCTCGCCACACACCAGCAGCTTCAGCATGGTCTAAAAAGAGCAGGGTAGGGACGTCGAGAACGATGTCAGAGCAACAGTGTTACCGACATACAAGTAATCACATATCATACGCTTTATCTGCACGATAATTTATAGGCATACACGTCTGAGAAAAAAGGAAAGGGTGGAATTTCAGTTTGGTGCTCTGACTCCGTGTTTTCCGCGTGAAACAACCATTACCGCAGTTATCCTTTTAAAGAACACATCATGCAGGTCTGATGATGGTTAGGAGAGATGGTCAACAAGAATAGGAAAAAAACCCCCGAAAAAACCCCCAAAAAAAACAGTACTGCTATACAGAATTGTGCTTTTCTGTCTCTTCTTAAACCTTTGCTTTTTTTTCTTGGACAGCCATAACTCAACTCTGCTTTATTGTAACTCATCAGGACTGCAATCCACTTGAAATGAAACAGTATGAACAAGAAACATTCCTAAACTCATTAGACATCTCATAGATATCTACAAGTCACAAGTCAGTGACTTTATATCAATTATTTTTTTGTATCTTTTTGAACTTTATGCTCTCACAGGCATTTGTATTCCTGCTTGTTGCAGCTTCTGTATGTGTTCTTCCAAAAAGAGTGAACAAGCTCATGAAGGGTTCACTCCAAAACTCATCCGTTCCCCGCAAAATGATCGAGACGTCGGGGAACTTTTTAACTGACAAACACGCATGATTGAGAGTACAACGGAGACACAAAGTGAGTTTTAACAGATGAGGTGATTTGTACCATGATGCCGTCGCTGGCCCCTGTGGTGAGGTAAATGTCGTCTGGGTCGCAGGGCACACCGCCATCTCTTCGCTCAATGTAGCGGGCCACGTCCTGGCGCACAGCGTCTATGCCCTGGCTGGCACTGTACGAACCTGAGGGAGACAAGTTGCTTTAACATAAAGCCAAACCACCAGAAAGCTAAACTGAACACGAGGATAAAGAGAAAGGTGATGATTAGCAGCTGAGGTTATATAAGTTAACTGTGCAGAAACCAACCCACCCATACTGTTCCCCCCGCAGGACTGAAGAATGCGGCGCGCTCTACTTTTAGCGTCCTCTGGGAATGTGCTGTCTTTCAGGAGTTCAGGGTAGGAGCACAGCGCCAAGACCTTAAAACAAAAAGGAGGTGTGAGGATAAAAAGGTGGAGGGGGACATTATGCAAAAACCTGCACAGATAACAGCAAAAAAAAAAATAAAAAAAAAAAAAAAAAAAAATATATATATATATATATATATATATATATATATATATATATATATATACCAACTTTCAAGTAGGGAGAAATCTGTTTGATAGACACCGACAAGTCAGAGGTGAGGTGCTAAATTTAGATGAGAGGTTGGGGGTGAGGATGAGGGGCAGACCTGTCGGAAGAAAGTGATTGGCTGCTGGCCCATAGCATGCGCGTCGCCAATGTTGGCCTTGATGACTTCCACAAAAGGCTTCTTGATTCCCTGCAGGGCACAAACACAACACACAGACATTATCATACATCTGAAGAATGGAAAAGAACATTTGAACAATGACAGCTGTTCTTCCTTTTGTACACATAACTGAGATTGAGATGTGACAGTGAGTGCCCATTAACAAACCTGACGAGATTATTCTAAAGACAAAGGGGTTGGCTGAGAGCACACACAGCACCTAAACAACCTTGACAATGCGCCCACACACAGGCTCACAAGTTTCCCATAAACATTCATGCCACAAGAGGCTGAGAGCTCAGCAGCTGCTGATATTTTGGCAGAATACATTAGGGGGTGAGACAGACTCTGCTACTCCAGGACGACATGCAGGCCAAAGTCAAGTTCCTCCGAACAGGCAGGTTTACCTTTAGATTAGCAGAGACAGAATCTACATGGACACGATAATTATACAGGTACATTACAGCACATTTAAAAATCTAAGTTTTCTATTTCCAAATAAATTCTCATTTGATTTAGTCAGTAACAATTTATTTTTTTAAAGAATCTATTTAGTTCAGTTTCAGGGGAAGACCACCACTTGAACGTACCCTGTGGAGTTTTTGACCACTATGGAGCAATGTTTTTGATAGGGAGTCCCCAAAGAACAAGACGACTGCTAGCGAGGAGTTTATGTTAGCAAAGTAGATTTCCAATTCCTTCAAATAATTGGCTCTGTAAATGTTTTATGAGGAAGGAAAATGTATTCAACAATAGGATGCATAAAATGAAAAAAGGACTCAGGTTTACGTGTGGTGTATTTTGGGGATGAATGTGTGTTGTGTAAGTGTGTTTATTGTTTTCATAAATGCCACAGAAATAACTTACTTTCATGATTATTTAGGTTAAGCCAATGAAAAGTGTCAGCGGTTCACCACACTAACTTTTTTTCTGTTCCTCTAACAAAGCGTTGATGCTGATAGTAGACCCAAACATGGGAACAAGGACCTGTGCAAACCACCTTATTGTACCGCCATCAACCTTCCGCCATACAAACACAGAGACATACAGTACATTACAGAGGCTTTGAACCTCAGTGGTGTAGACCGAGGAACCGGATCTATGACAGCACGGCAGCAGTCAACAACATCAAAAATAATTAGGATGATATATCACCAAAATAAAGGTATCAGTTTACCGCCTTCTACGCCAATAACATAACGTTTCTGAAAGATAATCTCTTGGGCAGCTGAGACCGCAAACAGCAATGCACGCCACCACGTGCACAAACACAAGCACGTGCACGCACACGCTGTTAACACCAGATGTTAGGAGCAGCGTGACAGAAAAGACACCAGTGCAACCTCATGCTGACAGGCTGCGTAAAACAAAGCAGCATGTTTATTTGATTAGTTCAAACCAGTTCAGATTTGAGGAGGTTTGAGTGTCAGACTCTCTCATTGGTCGAACACCAGAGGAGTCTCTCGGTCTAGACCAATAGCGTTACACCAGGTGAATAACACCCCTAGGTCAGAAGTACCGCAATTCATGATGGGGGGGGGGGGGGTATAAAACACACTGACCTCTGCTCCTGAGAAGCAGCTTGAAAAGGCCAGAGCTTTGTGTCCTCCATCGCTGATAAAAAAAAAATATATCATAATAAACTAAACTAAGAAAACTCACTTTGCAAAATGTGACTGTGTAATTTAAGTCTTTTAATGCAACATAGATTCTACAATGGAGAACATTTCAGAGGTTTGCATGTTGCTTTTCATTCTGGCAGAATATGTGGAAAGAATGACAAAAAAAAATAGCCTTTGTGCGTCAATGGTCCTCATTAAGTATCAGCTCATTCAGACAAACAAAGACCACAATGTCATAACCGCATGTGAAGCCCTCGTTAACTGACGCAGCATATGGGCTCAAAGTTGTTTTCCCTGTCCCAACACAACTTTAGTATTTGGGAAAATAACAAGAACAAGGCCGAACTTGTAGCTCATGTAAAGCAGCAAAGACCTCACTTTAAAAGAATGAGGTGTGTAGGAAACTGGAGTAGGATACAGCGCTCATTCATGCGTGTGTGGGTTTAATTCGTGGATGAAATCGAGAATACCACTGTGACCTATTTCCCAAAGGAATGCAACACCATCCAAACAGCAAGTTTTGACAAAAGAACAGTTGGGAGGACTGTAGATGACTATTTGGGGGACATTTTTACCTTCTGGCTGAGTGCTGTACTGTTGGAACAGACTGCAGTCAGTGAACAATTAAATACTGATGCTTCCACTTTCCTAGATTGAAGGTGTTAAAGTTGTACGGGTAGGATTATAACTGGGTTTTACCAGCTGAATTTTGAACATGTAAATTGCCAGGAAGTAAATGAATACCCCATAAAGAAAGGGGGATCAGCATTGGACAAAGCAAACCGAACATAGAATCTTTGGTGACAGTGCCCCCCCACCATCCCCGTCCCCGCTCTGTAAGAACCTGCTCGCGATACTTGTCTCTTCCTGAGCAACGCCCTGAAGAGACGACCAGTTTCACACCAGACCGCACTCGGTACACTAACAGCTGGTTGCCACATCACCAAAAACTGTGTGAGCGGAAGGGATCGACATAACTTAAGAAAACAAATGGTTTGTATTTATAACGCCAACAAGCTGGAAAGGACCTATAATCTCTTGGGTAGAAAAAAAAAAAATCAATGTATACAATGGATTTAGAGCCTAATATGGATAATCCTACAGATTTCTAATCTTCAGAGAGGACCATTCACTACAAAGATACCCGAAAATCTTTGGTTTCCGGCTGTTAAAATGAAAGTTACATTACTTATCAGCTAAGTTAGACATTTAGGACTGTCAGAGGGAAAGTGAGGCAACAGATATGTGCATCACTAATACGCCAGACACACACAGGACAAAACACAGTCTGTGGTTTAGACTGTGGACCTTCACCTCACTGAGGATCTCTCAGGTTTACAGACGGGGCTTAAAAACAGGTTAAACATTATCAAACCAGTCTACAGATATTAAGACCTCCACAGGAACTACTGACTAACTGATGGACTTTGATAAGAGGGAGTGTAAGCGACACAGCGAGTAATAAACACACTTGTTTTCTCTTTGGGGTAATGTTTAGACAGTAATAAGTGAGAACATAACCAGGAATGGAAACGTGCTTATGCAATTATGCTGAATGAAAGACACTGACTGGATTCATACTCCAATTAACATTTAAAAAAAGATTCAAATGAATATAGAACAGATCATTATGGCAAAAATCTTGACTGATGTGAACAATTTTCCAGACTTCTGTGTCCAATACAGCAACAGTAAAATGGCTTTCTAACTATTTGGTGGAGTAAGCTACTAAGTTTCTTCTGATGCTAAATATTCTAGGCACACTAGTTCACAATAGATAAATAACTTTTTACCAGGCTGACCAATAGAAGGATGCTCTAACGGGCTGATGTAATGACAGACAACATGCTACATGGAGTGAGTGAAGTTTCCAGAGAAAGACAAGATATAAAGTATGGTCCATAGTGGATACAGGTGGTATTGAACAGTGGTATCAGACGGCCTTCACAAACCTCAGAGAGCTCCCTCTCCAGCTCCATAGCCCGCTGCACGATGGGCCCCCGCACGGCGTACTCCACCTTCTTCACCGTGGGGTTCATGGTGTCGATGGTCAACACCTTGGCCCGTGGCGACACTCCGTTCTCGGTCATTTTCTCTTTGGGGAGCCCACGCCGCGTCGCGCTCAGACTGGATAGAGCTCTGCCGGGAGAGGAGGACGACAGAGCGGGAGAGGAGGTGAGTGCGCGGACCCTGGAGCCACCACCACCGGCTAACAGCTCGTTTCGCCCCCCGTTCAAAAGCCGCACGTTTCTAGGTGACAGCAACTGCATCCGCGTGGCTGCCATGTTACACGACTCTTTTATTTCAGTAAGTTGGGTAACAGTGACTTGCACCACCGGCTTGGTTACTTCACGCGCGGAGGCGTGAACGCACAGTTGCGCTCCTAAATAATGACTAAGCGTTCAGCCCTTTGTACCTTTGAGAGGTTAAAGTACCGATGTCTCTTACGTCCCTGGCTGCAACCACATACACGGACTACTTTATACACTCTGGAATTATTATCGGGGTACGTTCCCTTTACGCATGGAAACGCCACAGACCAGCGCGAGCGTATCCCTCCCCCTTCGTGTGTGTGTGTGTGGTTCCAACCATTATATCCCACCCACTCTTCTCCCGTTACCTTACGCACCGCACCATGAGGCTGTCAATCAGGGTCGGTTCTCCGGTTACCGAGCTGAAGCAGCTAGACGTGGCTAAGAGCGGTTATCACCAGAGACCCGCGTGCAGCATCCAACTTCGTCCAGAGCACTGCTACCCCCCCCCCACAACTCTTTGTTCTGGATGCTCCATGCGGTTTGGGAGGAGACTTGGAAGGATTCTTGGTGAACAAGATACTCATGAATGCTCCTCCTATTGCAACTGCAGCCCATTTGCAGTCTCTTCTGTCTGCTGCTTTGGTTCAATGTAAATACCTCTGAGAAAAGCTGCATCAATTGTGCAATCAGAATAATAAGTACCATTCTACAATCACAGGGATTTAATACCAAGTGTGTGAGTGTGACATAATAGTTTTTATTAGCCGTCATTGGTAGTTAGTCAAATACTATTATAACCATTGAACTGCCTGTTTGATTGTCTTCTACCTTTTTTGGCAAGTGGTTTAAAAGCCTTATTTGCACTCGCCCCGTCGTCAGATTTCACCATAGAGGCCGAACATCATTATCACATTAGTGGAGTAAAAGTGAGTATAGATCACTCAAGACCCACAGAAAGTAACCAACAATATTTAGGATTAAAAGTACCTCAGACAAATAAATAGATTCTTTATATTTGAAGCCAAATGATTCAAAAAGGGCTAAACAACAAACAGCAGGCACTTATATATCCCCGTGTAACATTTTCACATGATTCTCTCACACATATTGGAATATAGTGCAATCTTATTGATGACGTTAGTATTCACTCTGTCAAACAGCTTCCATCAATGTGACAGGAACAGCCCTGAAGCCAGTGGAGTTAGACAACAGCGACTTATCTCTTGAATGCAAAACAACGCTCAAGGCAGTTCACTTTGGTGTGCCATTTTCAATTATTTACATCATTCCTGAGTTAGTAAAGATTAACAGCGATATTCTTTTCTGTTGTGCATCTCTTACCAGAGGTCTGTTAATCATCGTCTGTACAAAGGTTAGACGGATGGAAGCTGATTTAAATGCCTCTAGATGGGTTAGTAAACATGTAATTGTGTACGTTTGCGGTCATTAATAAAGATGTAAGACAAATCTAAATAGCAGCAGCTATTCACCTGTAAATTAACATATTATTAAGTCAAAGATGTGTTTTAATGAAAATTAAGTTGACGGTTCAATTAAAACCCAGTGGCTGCAACTATATCAGAGAGAGTCTGTGTGGCCAACGTACGCAGTGCAAAGGTGGGCACCGACAGCGGGATGAGCAGGAAGAGCTGGTGCTGTGGTGTCTGGAGTCCGTAGCTTTTGCACTCCTCAGTAACTAGATAGCACTGCAGCGGCTGATGGGAGAATCCAAGGACGAAGTCTTCGTGGTGGCCCCTCTGAGCCCTCTCCTCTGGGGAGACGGACAGAGTCTCCTCCTGCGTGAAGTAGCGTGTCGTGCTGAAGATGTAGAAGAGCTTCAGTAGCTCCCAGCAGCGGGCCTTGGAGGGTAAAGGAGGCTCACTGGGTAGATGATTAGTGGAAGTCCGCACGAAGGAGACCGAACGACGTGCTTCACGGTTGATGAGAAGAACTGCCAGCACATCAGGACGCATGGATACAGATCCCGGTAAGCAGCGCTCTCCTATAGCCAGGCAGTCTCTCAGGGTCTCCACCAGCGGTGTCCAGAAACTACCCACCAGCCCACTCTCGGCTCTGTGCAGGGAAGGCGTTGGGCCGCACAGCACGCACACATCTGCCCCAGGGAGCAGCTGGAAGCGGAGCAGGCGGTGGGCCACGGTGGGGCTGCCCTTGGGAAGGAAAACTGGATAATCGCAAGAGGCCGAGCCAGAGGCCGAGAGGGACCGCATCAGAGCAGATAGCAGCACGACCTCCTGAGGTGCGAGGCGCCACCACTTCTCAGTGGCGGCAGCTACCCGGCCGTGGACGACGAGGCAGCCAAACTCGCTCTCCGCGGCCTCAGCGAAGCCATCCACGGCCTCTTGAAGAAGAGCCGGGTTCGGAGGCAGCAGTGAGTCGGCACAGTGCGTCAGGTGACCCAGGATGCCCTCTTGCCTCTCCTCCAACAGCTGATCGATGAGGGTGAAGCAGGACCGCAAGTCCCTCTTCAGCCTCTCCACATTCCTGACGTCGGTCAGCTCATCCTGGCCCAGCACCAGCACCATGCAGCTCCACACGTTCTCCAGTAGGCGCTGTAAGCGGACCTTCTCCACCTTGCTGCTGCTGTTGCTGCAGCCTGCACCGCCTCGTCCACCCGCACTCACAGCGATGAGCATCACACTGTCATGGAACACTCTCCACACCACCCTACCCCCACCTTCGGTCTCACAGCAGGACAGCTCCACTCCCTGACCACCCCCGAACATGTGCACACCGTTCAGGGAGCCGATGACAGAGAATGGCAGCTGTTTGGAGGCTCCTCTGGTGAACAGAGGAACCCCACTGCTGGCTGTGAGGCAGAGCAGCTGTGTTGACCCATGCTGCAGCATCATCATGCTAGCTTTGCGCACTCTCGACTGCACTCGTGCACTGTTTTCTACCGCAGCAGATAGCAACCTTAGCTAACCTGTCTATAATGCATGTACATGACACATATCCTCGGTTCTCTAACCACGTGCTTTTGTTAGCTCTACCGTATTTAACATATGTTAACAAAAGAAGTTACCGTCGTTTCCACAGTAACGCTGTCCCATGATGCATTCTTCACAGGGTGGTGGTTACATTCAGCTGGTCGAGCTGCAGTTGTGATTTACGAGCTGTGATGTAATCGCTGAAAGAGCGGGACAAGAAGACCGACCCGGGTTCAGTCCCCACAGTGTTGATGGAAGCTTCCGTGGATCCGAAGCTCTCGTTGGTTCACTTCTCGCGAGAGCCGAACCAACGCTTTCATAGGACCAACGGCTCACTAGCAACTACAGTATGGCAGCGTCATAACGGAGCCTCTTTCAACCACTGAATGTTATGTGAATATTAGCATCACATACGTGTAGTTTGTGTGTATATATATATATATATATATATATATATAAATAAAAATGTATAAATATATATAAAAAAATATGTATAAATATTAAAGTATATATATATATATTTATATATATATAAAAAAATACATATCTAACATTTAAAAATGCCCTAAACATTTTTTTAAGATTTTACAATTACACCTTCAGTCAAGTCAATTTATTTCATGGCAATTTTTATGTCATACGTCACTCATACTATACTTACGCCATACTTCTATTAAGCGGATAATATTAATATGTACTCGAAAGTACAATTTAGGGCTCAAGCCTTACTTCTTCCAGGCCTTTTTCACAGCAGGCAGAAGGAAAAGCACAGGTGAGATTGATAACATTAACGATGGCTCAGTGTATCTAAGTGTCCCAGTAAGCCATTCAAATGAGCCAGCATGCACAATAGGGCCTCTCCTCAGTGGAAGGCAGCAATCATTAATATTATTGAACACACCTGTGCTCTTCCTACTATGACATGTAAAAATGACTGCTGTGAAAAAGGTCTGTAGAGTACACTTAAAGTATACTTCCAATACTAAATCAAACCTATCCAGATATATTCACACACATATTTAATCAGTTTACTAAAGAAATGCATGCGTCTTTCAGATGCCGCTATTATTATCCAAGAATACATTAGAATACAGCATAATGTGGACAATTATGTCTGTCATGCAATGCTGCTTTGTGGAGTAGTAAAAAAAAACAGAAAATGACAATCAATGAAACATTGGAGTAGTAAAGAATGTTTTTTTTTTAATTCATTAAATACAAAAAAGTCCAGAACAGTGATGACTAAAATAGAACAATAGAAAAGGCACAATTATTTACTCGAAAATCACACTGTGCCATGAAAAATAAAACTGTCTCCTTTCTTCTACTGTGGCTGAAAATAGATGGTCATCTTCCTGACATGATTCCAATGTGTTCTACACTCGAGAGATCCCGTGGCAGTATAATGGCTTGGCATGAGGAGCAGTGTTGAGGTCGACTTTTCCCTGTAGCATCAAAATGAAGGCCTGCAAGACAACATAAAAACAAATGGAAAGAAAATTAGTCTGAGGAAGCACTACCAAACAAACATCCACATTGTTTGAAGAACATAGCGGTTTTTTTTTTTAGTAGTGAGCATACACATGGATGGCAAAGAAGTAATGCTGTGGAGGGCTGAGAAGTTTCTATTCATGTTTAGATGTTTTTTCACCACAGTCACTGGATTATTGTGGAGGAAACTACCAACATTTAACGTCCACATTTCAAAATAAAACCCTTTCATTGTAGTGAAAGGGTTTCTTTTCATCGAAAACAATATTTTATATAAAAGCGAGGAAGGGAACACTCAAAATGCATTAAAATAAATTGTAACCAGTATATCCTTAACTGTTCAGACCTGTATGAGTGTGTGCCTGAATGTGTCATACGTGTGGAAGACTTACCAATGAATGCAGTGGTTTCACAAGAAGGAGCAGACCTTCTGTGGCCTGAAAGGGTTGGTGCTGGAGGACACACCAGTGAGCAGAGGGTCCTGCATGGCATTCTGCATGCAAAACTGTTGAAGGTCTGCAGCTGCCTGGGAGACCTGGTGACAAAAAAAAAGGGAACCAAAATTATAAGCCACGACATGGGGTTATTTTAAATAGGCTGTGAAATATAAACTTTATTGATCTTACACCTGGACTCAGTCACTAAAACCAGGCGTATAATGTCCTCTGTGGCTCAGTAGGGAGCTTTTTTAAATTCAGAAATATCTGGTATCCTCAGGAAAGACTAATGAACCGCTTTATGGAAACTGAACTAAGTGTTCTTAAGCTTGAACCGTACGAGAAATGAAAAGTTGGGATATCTAGGCCTGCTTCAATTTGACATGTATTCATGAATCCTTTGCTTGCTAGTCCCCTAATTTCATGGAAAAGCACTACTTGATTTGCTGTAATACTTAAAATAAATGTCCATATTCATTTACTAGGAACTTGAACCATGGGGGAAGAGAATATAAGTTTTCATTTGGTAATTCCCAAATTAATAGTAATTACACAAAGTACACTTGAATTCTTGTATTGATCAAACATTTAAAACCATCCCATAAGGAAGACCCTCTGGATTCATAGTCTTGAGTACACACAATTTATCTGTTTAAATCTTATCGCGTATTTCATTTTATCTAGTCAACTTAAAGTTATCTTCTTAGTTTGCCTTGCAACTGGTGAAGATACTGAGGGGAAATGGCCTTTGACTTCTGCAAACGAATGGAGTTTATTCACCAGGTAGCCAATGTTCCAACGTTAGTTTCACTTCTAGGTAACGTTTGGTTAGTGTGTAGTCATCTTAAGTAAAGAGACAGGAGCTAGCTAAATGTCACATTATCTCTACTGTGATTAATCTAAACAGTGTGCAGTACAGCGCTGCACACTTCCCTTCAAGCAACGCCCTGCTAAAGCTAACGTTACGCCTTTTGACTACAAGCTAGCGGCTAGCCTCTGGCACCAGCTAATAGGCTAACAGCTAGCAGGCTAGCGTCGTTAGCGGAGCAGCGTAACGGTTGAGATAATAACCCCCTCAGTCAACGTCACTTGGCAGAACAACAATAAGCACATAAATTACCTTCACTCTGTTTATGCTCGCCTCGAAACGGAGCTGCTGTACGACCTTCTTCATGGCTACGAGATTAGATGAACCCGACATTCTCGAGGTGTTTGTTTCGTGAAAAATAAAACGCTGGGCGGTGGGTGGGATTCTGGGCTGGATGCTGAGACAAAAGCAAAAGATGATCACTTCCGGATTCCGGTTTGTTGAAAACTTGTGACTGCGACTCCTCTGTAAACACACTAGTGGGCGCCAAATCAAAGAGGATAAAATAGTTCATTAAAAATATCTTTATTGTACCGTTAACACCAGCATAGCCGATCATTATCAATCTCATGTCAATATATGCTCCCATTAAAATCATAACTTATACGTATAGAATAATGTAAACAATAAAGTTAATTCTAAAGTAAAACATTGAAAATAATCCACATGTATAAAGATATTTCTTACACCAACATGTCCAAATCACTACTTGGTAGATCCTCTGAATATAGCTTAAAATCTGAATCAGCAGTGTTGATTTGTTTTCAAAGGAAAGACAAGAACAATGGTAAAATCATTAAAGTGCTTTCTTCTTTGATCAGCTTTGGTGAATGTGCATGTCTATGACAAAGCAATCAATGGGGGACAGAATTCAGCCATGAATTGATCCTAAAGTCCACTGCGAAATGAAGTTGCAAAAAAAAAAAAAAAAAAAAGGCACATGAAGTTCTCAGGAAGTGAGGCTGTTCTCATCTTCTCCCAAAGAGAAGATACTGAAGTCTCCACATCGAACTCTGTTTTTGGATTTGACCCGAACATCTCCGTCTTCAATGCTGCTGGACTCCTGCCAGCGTCCTTGATTTGAATGTCTCGAGGAACTGAAATGAAAATACAAAACAAACAAAAAAGGGATGAATAATTATGACATGGCACAAATACTACCAGCAACAGGGTCCAAATGTCAGCTCAATACAGACAATAGTAATATTAAGTGACAGGAATCATTACCTGCTGTCTGGTATCAGGCGGAGTGTCCGGTAAAGCTCAGTGGTGGATGGCACAGCGGCACTTTGTGACGAATTAGGAGTGGAGGTTGACGATTTGACCGACTTAGCTTTGGTGGAAGACATCCTCATCTCTGGCTCACTTCCTGAAATGCAGTGGATAAATAAAAGAAGTCAATGACAACCCTATATTTGTGAAGTCCCTGGTTTTACCTGCAGTACTTTTTGAATATAACAACTACTATTCTTTATTCATCAGTAATCGATGAAAAGCACCGTTAGTCACACCCCAAACCATAGTGATTGTAGCAGAATCTCACGTTCACTGTAGTTGTCGGACTCATTTTGGACTCTCTAAAATCATGTTGTCATCATCTTCCCCTCTATTAACTGCAATTTTCATTTTTCAGATTACACCGACTTACTGATCGATAAGGCACTTTGACCGTCAGACGAGGAACATCTCCTTCGGTCCGTAAAGGGAGTCATGTTCAAAAACTGATTCTTGAGCAAAGACGCCCGGTCCTCCTCAAAGGCCTTTTTCTGTGGAGTAAAAGCAGATTTGCAGTGATTTTACAACACCCACAATAACTGTTGAAGAAGGTTGTGGTCAGAGGACCGGAGTACCTCTCGTCCCAGGCGAATAGCGGCCTCAGTGAAGTTCTTTCTCTCCCTCTCGAAGTTTCTCTTCTGCTCCTCAAAGAGCCTCCATTCCTCCTTGAGGCGTTCCTTCTCCTCCAGTGTGTAGCAGTCATTGAGAAGAGCGGCTGTCTCGTCGTCAAACGACGTGTTGAGTTGTTGCTGGATGGGCAGAAAACAAGTGTTTTAATCATTTTTGACCAAACTATTCTTTAGAATTTCTAAATATCAACAGACAAAGGCTCATTGCTCATATTGGTATACAACTCTGCTCAGAAAAAGTGTATCCTCGACAATCCTACTGGCCATCTCGGTTCTTACACACACACACATAGAAACTGACCTGGAGGAGCTGTTGCTGTGCTTGAATGAACTCTTTGCACTGCTGCACTTCACGCCTCATCCTCTCCATCTCATCCTCGTGAGCCTCCCTTGGTATCACCTCTTGTTGTGACTCGAGCTGACCCTGCACCTGCGAGGCTTTGCAAACAAAACACACCAAAAGGTGGATGATCCTAATTTCCTCCTGTGTGTAACCTACACATTACTTCTAGAATCACACTTTTCAATCTCCTCACATTAAAGTTGTTTCACAACATTACATTTATAAAACTAACACCACAAGTTGCTTTAGCAGTATCTGCGCTGCGTGTACCTTGGCTGTCTAGCTTCTCCATGTGGTTCCTCAGTTTCCTCCACTGCCGGCGGATGCTGTTGGCGAGCTGCTCTCTGGCGTGCTCACAGGATTGGTCCAGAGTTTCCCTGCTGGAGTCACCGGCCGTCTCCTCCCCGTCTGAATCGGCCTGCGCAAAAAAGAAAATAAAGAAGCATATGAGGATCTTGTTTCAATAAATCTGACACGTAAACTCAGTTAATTTAAGTTTCATTTTTGTGTATTAGTTTTTCTAAATACCTGATCCCGACTGTCATCAGCAGCGGCTCCTCTGGGAGACGGCTGGTGTGGACTCAGGATGTGCATCATCTCCTTCTTCATCCGTTGAAGAACTTTCTTGAGCTCAGCGTTCTCCAGCATCAGGGACCTCTGACTCGCCTCGTAGTCGTTGAGCAAGGACTTGTACATCTCACCCTCGTGGCTGCAGAGAGCAATTTACAAAATGCCGTCATCCGATTGGCGACTACACGTTCTGCATATATGGATAACAAGTGACGTGATGGCTTTCATCATACCCGACTGTCGCTTTTGCGGTCTTCCAGTGGCTCCTTTTTCCATCCGACCGTCCCAAACAATTCAGAACATCAATCGCTAGTTGGGAGAAATACGAGGCCAACATTTAATCAACTTTTTCCGACATTCCCAGAACACATTTTTGCCAAATACTAGCACATTTACCTAGTTTCTTATCCCGTCGGTCAACCAGTAGCTGGCTGAGGCGTTCCTTGAGCTTCGCAGCTTCTCTCTCTTTTCTCTTGGCATCGTGACTGTACTGAGAGGCCCGGCCGGCGATGATGCTCTGCAGCTTCTGAACCTGTTCAGGAGGATCGAGCCGTGAGTCGGGCAGGCTCGTGTACGTGAACATTTTGGAAAACAGAAAACACGAGCGTTGCTCGTTATAAAAAGATAGTGAAATTATACCTCGTCCTTTTCGGTTTTCAAGCAGCTCTGCAGAGTCTTAATTCTGAGTTGGAGCTGCCTCTCTGTTTCATGCAGACCTGATTTCTCCCGTATGGACAGTTCCAACTGATCCTGGAGGGAAATACACAGAATTCTTATTACAAGAACACAATGAGGTGGTAACGTTGTGCTCAATCTAAGAATTTAATGAGACAGACTGTAAATACATATTCTCACATATTTGCTGTTTTCATTATTTAAAAAAAGAAAGCCTCCCTGCACCACTCACACCTTTACACATATTACTGTGATACAATAAACCTTGAATTCTTCCCTGGTAGGTCTAGATTAAAGAGGTATGTTAAGTCTAGCAAGCAAAGACAGCAGTTGAGATAAGGGAACATGGCCATCATCGTGCTATTCAAAATGATAAAGCAGTGAGACGTCTGAGCACAGTGCTTTGTAATGTTTGTCCTTGTAGTATAGAATTCATATCACCTTCGTTTTAGATGAATGGGAAGGGAAGGGAGGGAATTTCATTTCTACAGAACCTGTATGTTTCTAGTGGTCAATAATCTGTTACTGCACCGTACAGACTCAGATTATAGTCTGTGGGTACACAGAGCTGGATCCAAAGAGGAATAAAACCAGAACTGGTCTGAGACAGACATAACCCTGAGAGTCATACGTGCCTTGAGTCTGGAGTTGTTCATCTGCATGTGGTCCAAGGTGCTGGATTTCTTCAGTTGTTCTTTCTCCAGCTCCTCTAACGTAGACATGTCGCGCCGGTGAATCTGCATTAGCTCATACATGGCATTCAGAGCCGGCACCGTGTTCAGGCTGGCCCCCCCCGGTGAGCTGGCCTCGATCCATGTAGAGGAGAGGCCCAGTGAGTCCAGCTCCTGTGGGAGACAGAGGAACTATGTCACCGCTGTAGTGAATGATCTCTACAGAACTTTAAAAAGTCAATAATTTACAATAATGGGCGTTCAGCAGGGCATTTCTCTACCTGATTGATGTATGAAATGCACGGAGGAATATTATCCTCTGTGCAGAAGGCACTTATCACATTGTAGGAGCTTTTGGACAGCGGCAAAGAGGAGTGCATTGACACAAGGTTGTTCTGTCTGGAGGGGGACATCGTCACATGTGATATGCTGGAGATCTCATAGTTTCCTAAAAAACAAAAGACAGGGAAATTACCGCAACTCACATGACACCGACTGTATGTTCTCATACCGAGAGGCTTGAATTAGGTCGCTGCTCTAAAAACGAGAACAAAAATATGGGTCGCCTCCAAGCAGATCCCTAACAAAAAAAAAAAAAGCACAGCTGATGAGCTTTTCTATTCTTGACGTTTTCTACTAAATCCATCCCATTAGCAGAGAGACGTACCCAGAGACGTCCCTATTGGCACAGTGGTCCACCACTCTCCCATATCACCGCCACATCAGTCCGCGTGGATGCGAGGTCATGAGTTACCAACCCGGAGGCGGATTAGCAGTCAGACGGTGGATCACAGGCTCCCACTGGAACTTTAGCCCTGCAAAAAGCAGCATCAAGCATCAGATAGACCGGCAGCAGATAATCTGGGTTGCTGCTTCACCCACACAGGATTAACTGCCCCGATGTGTGCCAGTGGGGCTTTAAACAGGGCCCTCCTATTGGTCATTGGCAAACTGAACTGCAGGGTGGTAAAATGATATCAGCATAGAGCTGCAGACGAGCTAAATCTGAGAGTGCATGCGTGTGGTTTTGTTTGCCTTCAGGACAATAGTATGATCTTTAGTTACATGCTCAACAAGCTAAACCAGATCTCTGCGTTTACCACTCCCACTACTTCACAACGCTCTGAAGTGTTCCAACGTTGCGTTGAAGGGGCTGTGGAGCACATTGTGTTGCTGGACAAGAAGAAGGAGGAGTCACGTTAATAAAGTAATTACGGTAACAGTCAGAGAACACAGCACCACGGTGAGGACTAGCTACCAGGAGAAGTAATAAGTGTCTGTCTAACACGTCGATGCTCACATGTTGTTATCTAACACACCAGACCAACATGCACGACTCTTATCTAGAGTTACAGTAACCGAGGCGAGCTTCAGTATAAACATATCGTTATGTTTTTTTAAAGTTAAAGATGACGTCATACATTTACAATGACCGTTAGCTATTTACGTTACTTTAAGTCACGAGGTAACGTTTAACATACTCACGGGCGAGGCGTCAAAACGGGTAAAGTCTATCCGACGGTTGTCAAAATTAAATAAAATCGCCCCTTCATCGGCAACACCAGCAACTTCCGAGTCGTCTGCAGCGAGCACAACTCTCACCTATTTTAAATGTGAACGCGCAGAGCTGCGACCGACTGTAGGTAGACGGGCTGCTCCTCCTGCCGCTGGTCGTGTGTGTGTGTTTTTTAAAAGTCTATTGCTCAGCTGCCTTCGAACCAAACGCTATTGTTATTGGAGGCAGCGTTGTTAAGCAACCAGTATCTGAGCCATGCATTGGATATGAACACGTGCAAGTGGACGATTATGCAAATGAGAAAAAATGCTGTCAGGTGTCACTGCTCCTCCTGTGGCAGCACGAGGTAAGGTACTATTGTCTTGACTTTACACAAAAATACAATACTACATTTACTGGCATTATGCTTCCAACTGTTTATTTGCCACATATACTGAGAGATTTTTTATACACTGTTGGATTCATTTTATTCTAATTTTTCATAGTTTTCAGCCAAAGAAAAGTGAAGTATATTCAAGTAAAATATAGAAATATAATGAGTAAGAATCTGCTTAATTGGCAAAAATATGTTGACTCGGTGTGAGCTGCAAAAAACACACAGAAGCAATCCAAAACAAACCATTGAGACAATCCATATGAGCAGTTTATATATCAATATTTACAAAATATGCAGAGCAAAATACACAACAAGATACTACAAATGATGAAAAGCAACCACAATGAACTTCATCTACTTTCACTTCTTAATTTCTAATTAAATAGTCTGTTCAAGTGCTTGTAAACAAGACTCGCATAGCTGAGTTACTGTGCGCTGTTAGTACTCCTCTGTTGAAAAGCATGTTTGAATGCATCACTGCACTGAGGAGATGTAAATGCATATTCATATTGAAATGTCTACCATCAGGTTATTGCACCGGTGAGCATAAAACTAACTGGTCATTTTACGTCAATAGTGTTGAGCAATTCAAGTAACAAAACAAGTCAAAGAAATTATATTTGAGTAAAAACATATTCTGGCATTCTCATCACGATTCAGTACAATTAAATGATCCATGCGGACGGTCGGTACTCCTTGAACATTATTCATTCTCACGATGTAACTCTTTGGTCACACTTGGCAAAGGTGAACGCCGCCATTTTGCTCACTTCATCCAAAGCAGCAGCATGGAGAGAGGCAGCAGGCTGCTGCTTCTTCACCAGTCTGGTATCTTCCAGACTCAGGCTGGTCCCTGCACTCTGCTATGAAGGCCTGAAGCTGGGACACCGGCACCTTGTCCTGCTGGTGATGCTGGAAAAGAACCAGTGTTTAGTATATCAGGGCACTCCAGTGGAAGAATAAATAGAAACTATGACCTGAAAAACCGACTCAGACTGACCTTGATGGTCTCATAGGTGTCATTTATGAGAGCGATGAAGAGGCTGAGCACCATGTAGATGAAGAGGGAGATGAAGGAGTAGAGGTAAAGTCTGCTGAAGAGCCACACCATGTAGCCCCCGTGCCTCATCTTCAGGAAGGTGGCGTACATGTCGTCCCCGTTGATCAGAGAGAAGAGGCACTCCGTCACCTTGTCGAGCGTTCGAAACTGGAAAAAGAAAAGTTGATAATATTTCACCAGGACAGAGCTCCCCGATGCGTGGAGGGATTTATTACCACACTCTGACACTCGAGAGAGATTGATGGTGATTATAATCCCCGTACTTTGTCATGGTACGGCCCAAGGACGATCCAGCCACAGAAGCAGTAACCGAGGTAGATCATGGCCGCACAGCAGCAGAACCGGATCACATTTGGGAACGCCGCCCTGAGGGTTAGGATTAATATCTGGAGAGGAATTGAGGTTGTCAGTTCATCTGGATATGCATTTGCTATTTTTAACATTGTGCCGAAAACAAAACAAAAACATTCTTACATTGTATTTCTTGAAGAAACCAAAGTAATGAATCACGCCGACCCAGACGAGCATTGTGGCTGTTCCCAGCAAGATACTGCAGACGTCATAGTTTGTCAGGTACTGCGAGAGGAAATAAAGTACAAATACATAAAGTAGTACAAGTTAAGGGGCCATACTATTTACCAATTATATTTAAAAATACAGCAAATAAAGCTCAATGAAAAGCAAACCTTTGTTTGTATTCCAATTTTGAGTGCTGACCCAGCGATGGTCAGTGTGTCGCTCACAATGATGAGGATGTACCAGCCATTCACGAACTCCATGCGGTCGGACCAAGACACGATCTTATTGTAGTACGCAAGGAAGCAGATGTTGAACTCCTGCATGAGAGAACATTCAGATATTGTAAAAAAGATATGAAACAAACCAGGATTCATCCATGTGAAGTTATTACATGTTTTCACTAATGAGAGGTTTGTACTTTTTATGTAATGAGGAGGTGCTGACTTCTTATATATTCTGATCAGTGTTAAATACTGGCTAAGGCCCCGACCCTTCAATAATACTGAGGTTATGAACCCCACATTTTTCTTCTCAACATGAATATCTAAATATACATTGATTCAGCGATTCACACAGTCAATAATAAATATATTGAGTCTGAAATCACGAGTCTGTAAAATACCCACCGTGTGTTCAGGCTGGGCGATAATTCAACGTGATAATTTATTGTCTTTCATTGGAATCATATTGGGATGAAATCATACATCGAGATATCGTGATACACAATTACATCGTCTAAATTAATAATAACAAGCACACACGCACTTCTGAAAATCTGATGTGAACTATTTGAGGGAATATCATTTGAAGACTGCTTTTTTGTTTTTACATCACACTTTAAAATACCACTTTTATATATATATATGGAAATATAAAATATTTTTTGTCTTTATAATTGTAATTAAAGCGGTTAAGCTTATTCTGTAATTACATTATAAAATACTCTGCACTTTAAAATTGTCTAGTATTTAACTAGTAAACATAAACAGGCTTTCCTGTACAATCATCAGTGGTGGTGATGGTTCACTCGTTCCTCACTACTTACAGACTGGAGCTGGATGCCACTGATGACGGATCGCGTGCAGAGGATGAGCGAGATGAAGCAGGCGAGGATGACCAACGAATCAAACGACAGGAGGAGGTAATCGTTCTTGCCAGCTACAAACCAGAGACACACATGTCAGGTTGAAGCAACAGCTTGCATTTCAGATCGTACTGCTGAGTAAGGTCATACAGGTGTCAAGGGTTGCAGATAACTATCACTGCACCCCCTGCTGGCCTTTACAGGAATAACATGATGCGTATTTTTGATTTAACTGGGTCATGATATATATCAATGGTTGGGCTGAAGTTGGGTTTGGGTAAAACTTACAAGCTCCTTCCACATTCCAGTCTCTGCATTCGTAAATTCTGACCTCGTTCTCAACATCAACCTTTATCTCTCCGCTGTGTGCACGGTTATCAAAGTTGATCTGCATGAAAACAAAAACGAATGAAGTGTCAAGTTAAGGAGAACTTATCAATGAGCGTGTAAAACGTGCTAAAAGCTCAGACCAACCGTTATATGGAAGTCGTAGCAGTCTGGTAGCTCGTGGTGCCGCACAGTCTGCAGGTTGATTGTTTTCAGAGTGAGGTAGATGTTCACCGACAGCAGCCTGGACACACAAACACGCATTAGCAGGCGGCCCGCTCACCTCCCGGTGAGAAAAGCAGCATTTTTAAGTTTGGTCACCTTTTGAAATCTAAAGAGAAGTTCTCATGTGTGGCCACGTTGTCGTCGAACTGCTGAGCGGGATAAATGGAAACACAATCTGTGAGGAGGAAATACAGGCAATAAATAAAAAGGGCAGTTTAGGTTTCATCAGATCACATTTCTCTGAATATGCTACTTCCTCTTTTCATGGAGTCACAAGTAAATACACATTGTGATTATTTTCCATTCAAGCCATGAATCAGCTTCCATAAATACATCAAACAATATGGACACAACTCATGGTAGCTGTTCGACATAAACACACAGCTACCACTCTGTCTGACGAGCACCTTAGTGCTGACGTATGTGTGCTTTTGTGTTGTACCTTTATCGATATGTGGATCAATGTCAAAGGTCCCATTCCCAGGATCGATGCTGCTGTTTCTGTAAAACTCCTGACAGACACACAGAGGAGTGTGCTTCCTGTTAACACTCCCGTATGCGAGATTACCAACTGTCAGGTTTTGGAGATTGATGTACTGGAAAAGAAGTACGCAAAGAAGAGTAAAACACATATTCTCATGACATCGCGGTGAGATGTGAGCTCTAAAGTGTCAGTATACCCTGTTGATAATGTAGTGGATGTGATCGTACACGTCTGCTTTGGTGTACAGCGCATAGCTTCCCAACCGGTGCTCCTCGTATCCTTTGAGGAACAGGTGTCTGAATGTCATCAGACTTTCGTCTTTGAAGGTGACCATCATCTCGTTGCTCAGGCCGAAAGAGACCAACTGAAGCAAAAAAAACAACAACATACATTTCATCTACTCTCTGTGCACATTCATGCCTGATAACAAAGACATACGAATAATAAAGGATTCTGTGTCGTACCTGGATTGTGATGATTGCGATTTTTAATATTTGTAACATTAGCTTCCATGGTTTGCGACCCCGGGCTCTGTATTTCTCACAGGGGTTCATGAAGAAGTACTTGAGCCTCCGTCTGAAGTCCTCCACCTCCTTCGACTCCAGAGTCCATCGGCAGTGTCCGTTAACCCTCGTCTCCTCTGACCTCGAGGCCAACAGAGGCTCAGCGTCCTCCATCACACTCAGGCACGGAACAGCACTACTTGTGACAAAAAGTTTCCACGTTGTTTGATTTGATTGAATATATATCCGACACGAGTTGAAGATAAGGCTTCAACCATTCCAGTCATTCTGCTGTGTGTCTAACTGGTTCCCCTGCATGTGCCCTCTGCTGTCCCTTCTCTCAACTCGCTTTACAATCTTAGTCTGTGTGCAAACTAAGTGTGCTAAAATAAGCTACAGCTCTAAAAACACGCAGTTTTAAAGGAATATTTAGCCACTTTTAGCTCAACCGTAGCTTATTGAAGCAGACCTGCCTGCAACAGTGAGCGTAGCAGACAGTAAATGCAGATTACTTAACATATCACACTATTACATTAAAAAAATCACAACAGTAAACAGATATTAAGGAAAGTTAAAGCCAGTTACAATGTAAATATTATTATAGTGTAAACAATATTTCCCCTCAAAGGGATTTATATTTACTAGAGACTAAAAGCAGCTAATTTAAAGAAAAGGCAAGAAATATAGAAATGATAATAATAAATGAATTACCGGAGCACCAGCAAGCCACAGAGCGACTAGTTCAGCACTCAGGACTCCTCCGTCTGTCACCACACCAGCCTTCACCACAATGACATGTCATGTCACTCCTCTGCGTCACGTTGAGCTTTTCCAGTTTTTCCAAAACAGTCACAGAATCTCTGCACACACAGAAACTTCTGCAATGAATTCATATTGTGTTTCAAGAGCTTTCAAAAGACTCCGATACGATTCCACAGACCGGATTACCAGAAAGCTGTCTCAGTAAATAAACGAAAACATTTATTTTCTAAACCACCACATCAATGAAGAGAGGAAACATGAGTTGAATTCATACAGAAAACCTTTAGTATGTAATCAGTTGTTGTACATGGGACCAGGGAATAAGTGGGACATGGTTTGCTGCTTCACAACAGGTTTTCAGATTCAAGACTTTTGTAGTGATTTAATGCTGCACAGAATGAACTTGAAGTCATCATTTTGAGGTACACCGCTGTGATGAAAAGCAGCGTCTAATGAGATCAGACACATATATTCTGGTCATTCCAGTGTATAAAAGTCTCTCACCGCACCTAGAGACTGTATCTGCAGGGTTCAACAGTTTATCAGGACATCACACCTTTTGTAAAAGAAAAGGAGGAGGAGAGGTCGAGAGCTCAAAACATGGGATTCAAACCTCAAGACTTCTTCTCTGGGTACCAACATGTGTTTGAAACATGAGTGTTCAAAACTATGAAGGACTTAAATCACAATTTTGCAAATTTAAACTGTATTCTATTTTGGCAAAGTTATTGTACACCTGCTTATATTTTTAAAAAACAACACACATTTTGTTTAATTAAAAAAAAAGGTTTTGGAGAAAAGCGTGTATATTCTTGAAACTCTGGTATTATTTGGCTTTGGATCAAAACTAAGTTAATGAATTAGCACCAGTATCAAAAACTCTCCAACAATATTTAAACCCAAGTGACAAATGGTCCCTATCTCTATTATAAACAGCTGATTGATTTAGGAGAAATATAATAGCATGTATGACAATTCCTGCCTAATCAAAAGCACGGACAACACCAAAGAGAGGAGACAAGGAGAGAGGGCTTGTGGGAGTTTGAGTGGACGAGGATTCTGCTGGTTTGTCCCTTGAACTGAAAAGAGTCTTGTCGAGTTGTAGAACTAAAAGATGCTCCTGTGTGATGTTGGAGTGAGAGAGCGCGACCGGAGGGGCTGGAAGTTTGGGTCCCCTCCGGTGCTGGTGCACCCCGGTGTTCCGGCGTCGATGTTGGAGGGGGACTCCACCATCACCTCCTCCGGCAGCGGAGGAGCTCCGGGTTCTCCGGGCCTCGGGAGGCTGGAGGAGGAGACGACGCCGATGCTGACGCCGCCCGCGGAGGTCAAGTCTCCGCCTCTCTGTAAGGACAGCAGGTTGAGGGAGCCTGCTACGTCTGAGGTGGAGAGGCTTCGTTCTCCGTCGGGGTGGAGGAGCAGAGTGGAGTTGTTTGAAAACATGGAGGGGGTGTCGCTGGTCGGGATCGGAGTGCCGACGCCGGTGTCGGACGAGGAACTGGAAGCCCCCACTGTGGAGCGGCAGATGAAGAAGGAAAAAGTTGAATTAAAGCATCAAGAACAGTAGATTTAAAATAGCTTTTCATTGAGACGTGGTCTATTCACCTTTGAGGGACTCGATCTTCTCGTTTTTGGCCTTTTGCACCTCATCTGTGATTTTGGTGATGATGAAGTTTTGTGAGCGCAGCTCCCTGATGGAGTCAATCAAGGTGTCCAGGCCCCGGGGGTTCTCGGCCAGTAAGTCCAACAACATGGCCGTCCTCTTGGTCTGCGTGGTCCTGCAGCTGATTTCCTCCGCGTCGTCCCGCGTCAGGATCCGGCGAGAGCGCAGGTAGTCGAGGTGGCGCTCGGCTCTGATCTTGTCGCAGAGGTAGTGCCGCATTCTGGTCAGCACCTGGAAATGGAGGCAAAAAGGGGAACAAAAGTGAGCTGTAGAGGCTCCTGGAACAGGGGGGGGGGGACTCTTTCCATCGGGACTGGGGAGGCTGGGAATCACCGTGACAGAGGGAAATATTCACTGAAGTCTGCAGCAGAATCAGAATAAGGATTATAAATTGTTTTTTTTACACACACAGAATTTGTCTTAGTGTTTGGTGCATTAAGAGGAAATAAAAACAGTCATAAACAAAAATATAGCATAGAAACAACATCATAAAAAGACACAGTACAATGTGACAGTTTAGTGCAGGATGTGCAAACATGTTGATAGAGGGACATGCAAATGTTACAGGTATAACAGTACAAGATGTGCGTTGTTGTCAGGTGGTTAATGATTACCGTGTATCCCTACTAATGCTTCCGGTAATGCTTTCTGATCAGGCACACCGAGCAAACCCAGACTGTATTTACAAAAACGCTCTTAATCTCCAGCCTGTAAATTCAACACTGTTAAATTGTCAAACCCCACAGAGGACTGTGTGTTGATGGGGGCACAGAGAAGGTGTGGTGGACTATTTCCTCCTTCTAACAGGCCTTTAATTAAACGAGGTAGAAATAAAGAGTCAACGGGGCAGCAGATCTGTCTTCGTGCTCCAGTTACCTTTCCTTTATCAGTACGACGATCGATAAGGAAGTCAGATTAGGCTGAAGTATCGTACTCACGTCTTTCTTGATCTCTGCCATCTCATCTTCAGTGAGCTGAGGAACATCCATCCCTCTCACTCGGAAAAGTGAAAAACCAAAGCGCACCGGGTAACAAATGACGACTTAGATAAGTTAATAAGATAGTAATAAAGACATTAACGACATCGATACGTTAGGTAGCGTCAACAAATGTGGCTCGTCATTATTTTGTCGGTGAAAGGCGGCGGATCCACGGTCCATTCAACTTTTATGTTTCGTATAAATTCCCCGGACTTCCTGATTGTGTCGATGTTTTACGTCAACGCGAGAAGAAGAGAAGTACGGACACTAGAGTCGTCGGTTTCACACGAAGAGACGGTTTATTTGGTTGGTTATCAGGTAAAAAGTCTGATATTGAAATAAAAACGTATCTTACAGCAGCAGACTAAGCCACCGTTGTGTAACTTTCTTCGTTAATTGTTTTCAGGAGCTGTTTAATGTTTCTGATACAGGTGAGATGCTATTCTGACTCAGTCCACTGGGTGGCGCTGCTGGACCTCACACACGCACCACACAGGATTTCTTTCACACTATACCTGTGAAAGTACTGTGCTCAAGTACAATTTGAGGTACTTTTACTACTACTGTACACAAATACACAATATAAGGTATTGTGAGCCATTTAAAATGAATTAGACTGCCCCACTGTATCCTATATGAAATAGTTGTCATACATATTTCATTAATAAAGCTGTATGTTTTATTCATTTTTTTAAACGACATTACATTAAAACACAGAATAAGGTTAACCCACACAAACACAGGACAAAAATAGTGAAGAAGAGTGCACAATGTGATGAATTAAACAACAAAACCGTGTACGAAGTAGTTAATTAAAATCAGCTCGACATCAGGGAAAGTCTTCTATATGTATGAAATACAGTTTGTATCAGCATTAATATTCCTAACAATATGTAATAACGCTCAAAGTTGCCATTTTTCTTCATTGAGTACTTTTACTTTTGATTCTTTATGTATTAGTTGTTTTCATGCAGCACTTTTGCTTGTTTACAGGATCGGAATACTTCTTCCAGCACTGGAAATGTGTTTCAAAACCAAAGCCGTGATGGAGGTACTCACATCCTTTACTTGAGTAAAAGTAATACCAACAAAATGTACAAATAATAAGGTATTATCAGCTAAATTTACTGAGTATCTAGTACACATAAGAGCGCATAATACTGATGAATAGCTGGTGTTTCATGAAGGAAGGGTTCATTGCAGGACTGTTGTATTAGACTGCATTCATTTTTAGAAAGTTGTAGCTAATTAACTGGCAACTGAGTGTACTTTGTATGAAATGGTATAAGAAATACTGTCTTCTGCTAAAAGGCTGAACACACAGACACACCAACACAGGTGTTTTCATTTATCTTGCCTTATTAGACAACCTTTCAAGACCGCGTGGGCGTTTACGGACCACGCTCGACTGACAACTCCGTCACTCTCCTTGTTAAAGCAGGACCATTTGCACTTTTATTGTTGTTGTTGTTGTTGTTGTTGGTGCTGTGCTTTAAGTTTGGTGACCTTGTGTAATTCCCAGCATTCAGCAGTTCCACCAACCTTCAACCTAGGCGGAGGTCTAATCAGCCTGAATAAGTGAAAACACCTGTGTGAGCCTGCAGGGTCGTAGTCCTGCAGTAGACTACGAGTCCTACCATTTAAAATCTTACCGAAACTAGAGTACCTATTGGTGCAGTGTTCTATTATTGTGTACTCTGTAAATATTTAATTATAATTACTGAAGCATTAACGAAGGGGCAGCATTTTAATAATGTAGCTGATTTTAACTACTTTATATGGGTTAAGAACACAGCCTCATATTTAATGAACTGATTTTGTTTTATTTGTAAAAATCTTAATCTGCAAAGTAAGCACATACAGCTGTAACTACAAACACCTCAAACTTGTACTTAGTTACTTTCCACCTTATTCTGAACGTTTCTATCCAGTTCTGCATATTTGAATGTGGTTTTAAAGTTTATTTTATAGACTCATCAGATATCACACATTGCTTTGTCTTGAAAACTACTTTGCTCGTCTACGAGGGCAGTTGAAAGCTCATGGCATTTAATATTAAAAGGATAGCATCAGCTATACACGTTGTCGTAACTGTAAATTGTTCCAACGGATCGGCAGGGAAAGTGTGAATCAAAGCGGAGAGAACAAAGTGTCTTCATAACGGCACAGTGAACTGCCGTGCATGAGAAGAACCAATATAACACTCCGGTAAACATGAAATCAATTGCGAAAATGGCAAAACAAGGTTTTCACTTCCCTCTAATCATGATGTGCCACAAACTGTTTGAGGACGGGTGCTCCCTGAGGAGATTGTTGTCAGGCTTGTTTTGTCACGTCCTGCAATGTAAAATGTACCGTGTAGCTGGAAAACACCAAGCAGTAAGCAATGCTAACTGTAAATCAGGCCACGACCTTCTGACGCTCGCTCAAACGTTTTTTTTTTCTGTGTAATGATACTGATTTGAAATTGAGGGGAAAATACAGGCTCCAATAACTACGTAGCTGCTGTTGCATCCCAGAGGAGCAGAAAGATGCCCTTTAAATGTCAGGTGTTAAAAGGTCAAAACTGGATGTGGACGCAAGATAAACAGAAACTAACAATACATGGGCTTCATGATGAGTCACATCTTTCCTATTAAATTGCCGAGAGCAGTAGCCTGGAAATGATGTTGTGTCATCCGTGAGACATTCAGACGAACCCGGTGCTCAGACATGTGCGTGGCTTTTACAGTCAATGAGGCATAGAAATGATTATAATCAACTGGACCTGCAATCATATCTGCACACCCCTTGCAGACATTCCCGTCAGTCGTACAGTATGTATGATTTACACAATAGCCAAAGTAAGCTTGTCTCACCATTGTGGTTTCACACCGAGTAGCACTGGGAAGGTATTTCAGGTAGTCAGTCTTTCTGCCACACAGAATCTGATTCCCATATTTTGTCTATTTTTCTTTGTCTTGCATTTGTATTTTAGCATGAAATGACTTGTTACACTCTTCTTCTTTTGTCTACCCTCTCATCAAGTATCAAGTATCTTAATTGCATTTAAGATGCTGCACAGTATCAAGTATCAAATCATAAAAATAATAAATCTTGTCTCTTGACAGTATAATCTCCAGGATTAGTGTTGCCTAACATTTCTTATAGCTAAATCCAGTTTTACCGTTGCTATGGATGACCACATGAACTTGGCAGCAAGATCAAAGATCAAGATCAAATTCTCCAAACATGGACTCGATACTTCACACTGTAAAATGTTACTTTCTCATGGCTGTTAGAGGAATAGTTTGACATTTTGGGAAATATGCTGCTTTCTATCCAAGAGTCAGACGAGAAGATTAGCCTACCACAATTGTCTCTGCGTTAACTCCGGAGCTATAGCCATGAGGCGATTAGCTAGCTTAGCTTAAAAACTGGACACGGGGAAGCAGTTAGCCGGACTCTGGTCAAAGTTAGAAAATATACGCTTATCAACAACTAACAAATTATATCTTAGTTTAATCCATTTACAAACAGAAATGCAAAAACATGTAGCTTACATGTTGTAGCTATATGTTGACAAAGTAGCGACACAATAGCTTCCTTCACACCAGCATTTGAAATGTTGCAAAAAAAATAAATGATGTCCTTATAAGGGGAACAAAGAGCCCGCAGAGTCCAAAACGGAGCAACATTAGCTGTGTTATTGCCCAGGAAGCTATTGTGAATGACTTGCGCTAGCATGTCCCCTGCTAGCTAACATGTTAGCAGTGAACGTTAGCTCCCCAGCTATAGTTTAACAATTAACCTCCATCACCAAGCATCCAGACCCACAGTGAGTTGACGTGGTTTCGAGTTCTGACTTGAAAATAGCTTTCACGTCCTTCTTTCCTAAGTTACCAAAAAAAATGTACCAAATTTTTCTACCAAACTAAAATTAATTATTACCATATTACCAGAAAACTAAGCCCTAACTTCACACAGTCTTGATGCCAATCTAGTCACAGATGATGTACGATTACCATCTTTTAAAGGAATGTTCCCAATGCACTGTGTAAAACTGGCCAAAAGTCTATTCTAAAACTACAACATAGGAGTGCCTGGAAATAACTTAGTACTAATACTAACTGAAAAAATGTGCTTGTTTATTTTTTTAATTGACTTACAATTATCGCTGAAACAAATATTGCTTGAATTTGTGACGAGAATGTAATTGAGTATGTTTTAACAATAGTCTGTTTCCGTTTTTTTTTTTGACTAAAGAGTACAAAGAGGGTTAGGGCTGGTGAAGCAGACAAAATACATTGTAATGCCTAAGTTCAGCTGCAACACAGCTAACAAGCTAGCTTCCTCTATTTTGCAGCTTGCTGTTGACTATTTTCCAGCTGACAATTTCCAACTTCCGACCTCAAAGCATTCCAGGTGCACAACGCCAAACGTAAATTAAAAAACCATGGCTGACCGTGACAAACTGATGTTTCTTTGGCAACACACAACTGAACTCTCAGCAGTGAAGCCTCCACATTTTTGTGGCATTTTTAACATTTGTCTGAATATCTTTTTGCTCAGAGAAAACAACTTTCAGATTTATGTTTCAGATTTTTCGGTGACATTTTTCTTTTTTCTTATTATCTGGTTGACAGTTTGATTGTGAAAACCCATTACCTCTGACGTCTGCTAGGAAATGCAGCTACACTTGAGCCGTGAGTGTTCTCTGTGATCTCATCCTGCCCTGTGTTGGCTTCCATCTACATTTACCGTTTCTGTGTTCTTTGCCGTGTAAATAGTTGAGCTTGATCATTTTTCCTGAGTCCAAACCGTTTTTGTTTTCTTTAATCATACCTGCCTCTGGTCTGGTGTTTTGAATGGATTAGCTACATAATTACATTGGTGACATATTTTGACATCAGTTTACATGCAAAAGAGGTGTTAGTGGGTATTATTTTTATTTAAATACAGGCAAACATACTTAAACATTTTGTTTGCAGATATTTCATGCATTTGTTGCCGTCACATTAGTTTGTCTGAATGATTAAGTCCAGGTTATTTTTATTTTGGAAAGTAGTGCTTGCTGCCTCTGGACTTTTGAGTATGCACATATATCACCACATTTTAATAAAATAGGCGCTTTTTGTCTTCCAAAAAAGTAGTAGACCTGATTATTTTGTTGCAGGTGTGCTGTCACAGGAGTCCAGCTACGAAATTCGAACACGAAAGTGCATAAGTCCAACTTCAGGATAGTTAGCTTCCTGTGAGGCTGCAGGATTCATTTGTTGTTTTTTTCTCTTTTCATATAAATGCTTTTTGTTGGACTTTCCAGAGGTAAGATTTTTTTTAATAAATACCCTTGTTCCTGCTTACTTCAACTGTTCCAATGTCAACCAACATCTGCTCTTTATAAAGGTGCCACTACATAAACTTAGAGCATTTTTATTAATAACAATTGAACAAACTATATCAAAGTAGCACAAAAGGAAGAAATGTAAAATATTTTTGAAGGAATATATACAGTTACGTATACAAAAGAATATATACAATTGTGTTTAATATCAGGACCACCTGCGCTGCAAATCCGTCACCCAGGCCTCAAGACTCATCTCTTGCTGTCAAGGTAGAAACACACAGGAGGCAAAGTCCTTCCTCTTCCGTTGTCACCTTATTTTGGCGAAAAATATGTCCTGTAATGTGAGAGAGAAATATATTTTTCTCTATATCAATAATGCTACATATTTATTCACATGAAGGTCTTCTTTCCTGTCGTATGGGTGTGCGTGTGGTGTGTCCTCCAAGGTATAAAATATTGTTTTACTATAGTCTATAGATAGAGCTCAATTTCATTAGAGGGACAGTTCAGGTTATGTGGGTTTGGAGACAAAGCGAGAAAGGCAAGATTGAGACATGTTCACTGGGAAATGCTGTAACAAGTGTAGCATTAAAGCATTTGGAATCAGTAAGCTAGTTAGCTAACTGGTGGACATTTAGCTAGCTGCTAAATCAGCGATGCTTTAATGCTACACTGGTTACAGAAAATGAGCCAAACTGGTGGCCAGCGGCAGCGCTGAGTCTATCGATTCCTACACCTTTGTTCTACAAATATGTCACTCGATACACACGAATTCTGTGTCTTTTAAGAGTCTTAAAAAAAGGCATTTTTTATCAAGTGACTAAATGAGACTATAAAACTTCATAAAGTGGCCGTCAGGTAATGTAAAAACATGAAAGGTTCTTGCTAGAGCCTTTGTTTGATTAGTTCGTTCTGGTCTACTGTAGCTAGAAAAAATGGCGGTGCAACATGGCGGTTCCGTGAAGAGGACCCGCTCCCTATGTAGATATGAAAATCTCATTCTAAGCTAACTAATGATTTTTAGTTTCTGGTAATAATACACGAATGAAAACATAGTTATATTATAATCAATATCTGCTATTAGATCACCAGAAATGCTACCCATTGGCCTCTAAATACCGGTACAATGATTTATACAATTTAATACACATTTTTGATTGGAACATGGTTGTGCAACAGATTGATAGTAAATTTGTCAAACATGCCAATTCAACAACTGTAATCCTTTCAAACTTCCCCAGCTGCCTTATATGTTGTACGTACATCCAAGACGACCCTCTTACCTAACATGGTTCTGCAAATTCTATATTTTATTACGGCTTTGGAGGGGAAAAGTTTCCACTCCAGTCAGCAATATCCAGGCATCTGTGAATGCACCGAGCTCACGCTCGTTGGCTCTTCATCTGCCTGAACTGGCACGGATTCAAACTGTCCCTTGTAACCTCAGTTAGATAACAGGCGAGGCTGTGCCAGTCTGCCGTTCTCCGCCTCTTGTTCTCACAGGTTATAATGAAAGGAAGGGCATTTTTCCCTGATAAGTTGATAACTCCTATTGTTCTTTGATGTGGATAGAAGAGGATGCTTTTTATTCTGGCAGCCATTTCAAAGAAACCTTCAATGTTCATCCTGAGTGGAATGTTGCTTCAGGCAATTCTTAAGTTTTCTTCTTCCTTTCTTCTTTCTTTTCGGTGTGTTTCTCATTCAGGCCGAACAAAGGAGTCCTACGGTTCAAACATTCCATGAGGCTCTTGTCTCCTTTTAAAAAAAATATTTAAGTTGATCCATCCACGCCCTTATAGGTGAGTGACACTAGCGAGGTTGGAGAATACAAACACCGATCACAGACATAGGGCAGCAGTCTAAACATCGCTTCGACCATGATAGAAATTCAGTTGCTCATAGCAATATGTAGCTTTTCTTCAATATTTATGTCAGAACTTGTGGTGCCCCGAAGTTGAATCCCTGTTGGACTGCGTCCAAATGCATGAGGTGGATATCTCAGGTATCACACTTGTCGTCGTCCTTTACTAGCTATATCACACGAGTATACTTTCTTTATTTTTCCTTTATTGAACCAGGTAAAGTCTCATAGAGATTCAGAGAGATCTGACCAAGAAGGTGGCATTAGTAAGCAACATATTCATATACATGTATGCATTTAGCAGCAAACATTGTACTGCATTGCTTCAGTAGAATACAATATAGGTGCAGAACATGTCTTTAAGCTACTTGTCTTTGAAATGTTTCATTGCTTAGAAATAATAATTCTAAGAGCTTGTTTACTTCATAATAGAAGAGCTACTTCATGATTACAAGACGGATATAAAAAAATATAATTACAGGGACACTTTGGAGAGAAAGCCCTACAATAATGGAAGTTAGTCTGGGTGGTTCTTGTCTCACTGAGCGAGGAGAGGAGTGGAGGCGTTCTTGTTATGGGAGGACTCGTGGTTGAAGCATTCCTCTCATAGTTTCGGGACACCTCTTCAGCCCGCGCATACGTCAGGTCTGCTCAGAGTGTATAAAAGGAGACGGGGACTCCAAAAGAGGGATATCAAGCACTCGTTAACTCACTGCCAGGTCGGCTGTATGATAGAGATTTTTATTTCAGGAAAGATAACTTCAACTTCTGAAGATGTGGAAAGTCCATTTCATTGTGGTCCTCTGTGTTTCACAGGTGAGGAAATACTCACTGTTCATTCATAAGCTGCTTCTTCGAGGTTGTTATAAGAGGACCATTTTTGGAAGCAAACATTTAAATTAGAAATATCTGTTTTCATCTCAGGCGTCAGCGTCGTGCCCGAAGGACTGCTGGTGTCCCTCTGACACCCCGAGGTGTGCAGCGGGAGTCAGCCTCGTGCTGGATGGCTGCGGATGCTGTAAAGTTTGCACACGGCAGCTCTTTGAAGACTGCAGCAAGACACAGCCATGTGATCACACAAAGGGACTGGAGTGCAACTTTGGAGGGACATATAGCTCTGCTAAGGGCATCTGTCGAGGTGAGTTATTGTCTTTACTCACTTTGTCTGTTTACTCTTCTCATTTCAAACCTCACTACTTCCTCCGTTTCTCTAAAACAGCCAAAGCAGATGGAAGAACATGTGAGTACAGCAACAACATTTACCAGAACGGGGAAATCTTCCACCCAAACTGCAAACACCAGTGCACTTGCATGGACGGTGCTGTTGGATGCGTCTCCCTCTGCCCACATCAGCTCACGCTGCCCAAACTGGGCTGTGCTCAGCCCAAGCGGGTCAAGGGCCGGGGTGGGTGCTGTGAACAACTCGTATGCCCCGAGGAGGAAAAGACAGAGAGATCTGCGGTGAAGAAACACCGGAAAACCCAAGGCAAAGACAGACCGTCTGAAGGCAACCTTAACAACAGGAATGAGTTTGCTCCTGCGTGGAGAGGAGAATCAAATTCTTTACCGGGTGAGCAGTTTTGTACAGTGTCCAGTCCTTTCTGGTCACATTGCTAATTTATCGAACAGGGAGCCAACGAACAAGGAAATGTATGTGAGTTTGCACTTCTCTTACCTTATTCTTTTAATCTCTGTGCAGCTTTTAGGAGTCACCCAACGGGCCACATGTTGGTCAGAGGAGTCAAGTGTGTGTCTCAAACCACAGCTTGGTCACCCTGCTCCAAATCCTGTGGCACTGGAGTGTCCACCAGGGCGACCAACAGCAACAGCCAGTGCAAACTGGTGAAAGAGACTCGGATCTGTGAGGTCCGCCCGTGCAAAATGACCGTTACAAAATTAAAGGTATATTCCAGTTTTTGAATGTCTTATTTGTTTTTAGTACGATTAAACAAAGAAACATTTTGATTATTTCATAATATGGTGGCCTGTGGTCTTAGCATGGTTTGTCGAGGTAGATCTGAAACATAATTAATTTTTTCACGTGCTTTTGGTGTTTTTTCCTCCAACAGAAAGGTCAGAAATGTAACCACATAGAAGAGGCCAGCCATCCAGCTAAACTGTCCCATGCAGGCTGCCGTAGCCTGAAGAAGTTCCAGCCGAGGTACTGCGGGTCCTGCTCAGATGGGCGATGCTGCAGGCCTCACCGGACCCAGACGTTACCGGTCCAGTTCCGATGCAAACACGGGGAGATCATCAGAAGGATGGTGATGGTGATTCAGTCATGCAAATGTAACCGAAACTGCTCCGGCAGCAACGAGAGGACACCTGCTCGCTACAGACTTCATAATGATATCCACAAACTGAAAATGTAAAGTTTTGAACAGAAGGTTGTTGACTCAGAAACAAATGTGCACTTTGTGGTTGCATGCATCTGCAGGATGAATGTCTTGAATGATTTTGCTTCATAACATTGGAGCCTTGTGGTTTACTTCTTTTTGAAGCTGTTTTTTTTTTTTACATTGTGAAGATCGTTATTTTTCTAATTAAATAAATATGTGTTCTACTATTATACAAATACTTACTATATTTACACCTCCCTGACGAGACATGACAACATGGAAATGACAAACTACGGCAGCTGCTAATTCATTACACTTATGTCGCCATGTTGCTGTTGATTTAATGTACTACATTTTATTTATAAGAAATAATGCTTCAGTGTATTGTTATATCCAATGATGGGATATTGTACAATGGTATTGGATTGACATCGTCTACACTCACTTGCCTATGATGAATATGACTGGAAATATACTTTAAGTTTGACCAATTTACTGCAGAATTTTATGTTTACATTTTTCTTAAATAAACACATAAAACAGTGCAACTTTCTCAAATACTCTTTTTCTTTTTGAATAAGAAGATGGGGCTTGCAATAATCTGAAAAAAAGGAAGCTGTCGGGGGTCTGTTGTAACAGTTTTCAGTAGGAAATGAGCTCCACTGTTTCAACTGCATCTAGCCGAGTCACTTCTGAAACATCCTCCATGCCACTGAATAGTGGCGGGAAAGAGTTTAATGTAAACCTCAGAGTGGTTTCCCTGCTGTTGGACAGATGCTGTGCACAAGCTGCAGAATTTAGTTTTATGAAAAAGTTAAAGGGTGGCAGAGAATAATCTAAACTTTGCACAGAGAAATGTTACACGCGGAACAAAGGACAATTCTGAATTTTGAAATGTGTTGCTCTTAATATTGAAGTGAGTGTTCTTCTCCATCCAACATCATACATGAGTTGAACCTTCAGAAAACCGTTTATTATGTGCAACAGTGAAGCATCTGTTTTTTTCTATTGGTCCAGCAGTCTAGATTTTGTAAAACATAATAAAATAAAATAGCGCCCAGCTCATTTGAGTCTAACGAGCACGTATACGCTCAGGGTGTGTCCATCACGGTGCTGAACTGTGATACCAAACAAATTGCCAGAAGTCACACGTAAGCAAATTTTCCAGCAAACGGCAGAGAAAAGCAAATTCCCAAAGTGTGATCAATAGAATTACGTAAACGGGCAAGACCAAGAGCAAAGGGAAAAAACAGCAGTACTGACGCAAGCAGCCGTGAAATGGTTCCATCCCCTGACAGAGAACACAACAATAGAGCTTTGTCTGTAAGAGAATTTGAGAGGAGGACTGCTCACTTGGGGGAATACGACCACTGCAAGAACACATCAAGTCTGGTGGTTTATGATCATAGATACAATACAGGACCACAAGCAGCAAGAGAAGAACAGTACAACACAAACATAGGTCCGCTTTTAGGTAAATCGTGCTTCTATGCCTCATTTATAAACGTCCATTACAACTGCATGAAAACAACCCAGCAACAGAGTTTAAAGCTGTTTGGAAACTGTCTGGGTGTTGCATGTATCTCAGTAATTATGTTTGCAGCCCTAAAGGCATGAGCTTCACAACTGACAGCTTAAATGCAAATGATTTTATGCATCATTCATCTCAGTGAAGCTGAGAATCACAACATTAACACAGTAGATGAATAATGGGAGCAAAGTTGGAGCATATTTTGTAATATTGGAAAACATGGTTTATTCTGCAGCTGGTAAACTTGGCGGGGACATATGCACCCACATAACAATACGTTATCAAGCAGTACTTTGGTAAAGATTGCTTCAATGAGGTGAAAATACAGCGTTAAAATATGGCAAAAAAAACAAGTTTGATCTGGAGCCAGTTGCAGAAAAATAGACTCTGTCTTACACTTGCAATAGAATTTAACTATTTAAAAGGACCCATTTAGTATTGACTAAGGGAAGACTGATGCATAATGCATTGTGGGTAAAATTCAGACACTTGACAGAAAAGATAAGCTAACAAAACAGTTCCATCTCGTAGCACATTCTTTTTGTCCAGCTGGAAACACCTTTTGTTTTTTTATTCATTTTAGTCCAAGAAATATCAGAAAACAGTGAAGAAATGGCCGTTACATTTAATCAGGACCCAATGTGACATCTTAACATTGCTTGTTTCATACAACCAACAACCCAAAAGTATTCAATTTGTAGTGAAAGAACATTTGTGTAGCTGGTGCCAGGCCGTACTCAACAATCTAAGATAGGTCTAATGTCTGAGGAGTCTTAAAGCTGAATTTAAGACACAGTAGCACCAAGAGTTCACAGTCTAACAATTGCACACACACGTGAGAATATCATGGAATGTCTTTTGGGACACGAGCTAAAAACAGATATCAAAACCTCCCACAAAAACAAAGGATTTCGACTATCTGGGGGGAAGGGTCCCAAATCGTCAGCTTAATGTAGAAGTAGATATCCAAATTCCTTACCTCCATTCTCATTTTTAAATAGACCGTATAAATATTACAACACAAATAAATAAATGCAAATGTTAAAATGCAAACAGATTTGATCATTTTAGAAAATACGATGATCCAAAACATGATGTCTGCAGTCCCTCATCAAACATGGTCTTATAAGAGTTTTTGAGGAAATCAACGTAGTTCTGGATGCTTTGCTTGTGGCTCTCCGATTGGTCCAGACTGAGCTGCAGGTCCTTCAGACGCACCTCGAACTGTTTCTCTGCCTGCAGGTTAACAAAACGCTCAGGCAGTGAATTTCCTCAGACATTTGCTCGACATCAACACATCTCCACGACGGCCGTTTGCTTCATATGCTCACGTAGAGCACGGTACTCACGGTGAGCTTGCTCCGGCGAAGAAGTCGCAGCTCGTTGTCCCTTCTGCTCCTCTCGGCTTCCAGCTCCAGGATTTTGGTCTGAAGGGCCTCTTCTCTAGAAGCAGCCTGGTCTTTGACCTTCTTGACCTGGATATATGGGGAAAACAATTATTGCCGCCATTCCTGGGTGCCAGATGTGTATCTGCAAAACACCTATAGTGCGAAAGACAGGGTGTTTATGACAAAAAAAAGAGATAATGTGATGTTGCTGATCTTTTCGCTGTTCCTCACGTGCCACTAGACTATGTGTGAGCCATACCTGCTGCTTGACGTCTGATAGAGCGGCCTCCAGCTGCCGGCTGAGGGCCTGGCACTCTGACGAGCGCTGATCCAGCTGCCGGTTACTGTAGCCCAGACCTTCCTCCTGACCCGAGAGCCTCCGTACCAGCTCCAGGTTCTCCTGCTGCAGCGCGTCCATCTTCCTACAAACACATTAAACCATTTAGATAAATCTGCACTAAGGAGACGCAAACATTTGACAACAGACACGAGAGGATGTCTTACTTTTGGAGAGAGGCCACGTTCTCGTTCAGCTGTGAGTTGGCGTCATGAACGGACTTTCTCATCTCCGCAGATGATCTCAGCGAGTTTGCCTGACTCTCCATCTGTATATGCAAAATGTAAAGTCCAGCGACTGAAGCACATCACATGCAAAACTGCATAAAAGAACACAATCTTGCAAACACTGAATGTGCAGTTTTCTAGACACCAGTTCATCGTTGCTGATGGAACATGTGGGTGATTGAAAAGGACTCTCACAGCACATCGCTCACAAATGGCTACGTAGGTGCAGATGGAACCTGATTGTTTCCATTGCAATCGGAGAGTTTTTTTTTTTTTTTTAAATCACAAATATCAAACTCACAGCAGGACCAGAAAACAAGACGCGTCGAACACACACATTGGGTTGTACTACCGCCTAGTGGTCAGATGTATGGAAATGACAGCCTTTCACATTCTGACTCTGCACACCTGAACCTGCAGTTGCCTAACGGACTCTGACGTTTCTGAGCACTTCCTCTCCGAGCGTCGCAGGTTGTCCTGGCACTCGAAGAGACTCCGCTCGGCCGCGCTCAGTAACTCGGGGTAAGACTCCAGCTCGTCCACGCGCCCCTGCAGCTCCCGTCTCGCCTGGGCTCCGGAGGACGGCAGACGGAGCGGAGTGATGGGAACAGGAAAAAATATTAGCCTGACGAGTCAGCACACCTCTCAAAGAGATGCTCACAGACGGGCTTTAATGCTCCAAGGGTGCAGAATGTGCCCGAGATTCATCTTTAGACTGAGCTCATAGGTTGAAGTGTTTACTGAAGGAAGTTTGGTCGTTAGAAGGTCCAGTAGCAACAAATGTTACACAGCAAAGAAACATCTAACAGCTCACTCATTCAATAGCAGGAGAAACAGTGCTGAAGAGCTGAATGTACTAGAAGCACAACAGTACTGTTAGAATGTATTATTAAAAGAACAAAAAAGAAAGAAATTAGTCTTCTTAAGTATCACATATATTGTTAAATAAACATACATATTCGTAAAGACTTTTCCACATCAAGAGTTCCAATCTTTCATTAAATATAAGACTTTGAGGTTACCTTCTCAACTTCTGTATCTTTTCCATCTCGTGTCCTCTCCGTCTCTTTCAAGAGATTTGCATATTTTATCTTCAGATCATCGAACTCAGCTTGAAGCTCTGCAGCCTAAGAAGAGAAAGAGATTAGAGAACGATCAAGCCTGCTGCGTCCTTCCCTTCAACGGAAAAACTAGAGTTGTCGATAAATTATTTATACAGCTATTTCAGCAGACCACATTCAGTGTTACTCTCAGTATGATCATCCGCTTTTGTGTGATGCAGTTTTCAAAAAACAAATGGAAAAGCACAAAACATGAATAAGTCTTGGAACTTGTTGGTGTGACTTTGTGTTCCCCGGCCAGATGTGCAATGTTTCCCCCGTGTTTATTATCTATTCACACAACAGAAACATATACACCTAAAAACTATTTTTGAGCAGTTGTTTAGTAATATTCACTATGTGTGCGCGTGTGTCAATTTGTGTAAAATGTCTTCTTTGACTATAGAGTGAATCATCTTCCAGGTTGTAGTTTTGAAATGAATCACAGACAGAGTTCTTGAAACTATAAAAACTAAAGGTTATAGTGAATGTGCTGATTTCTACCTGGTGTTGGCCCTGTCCCACTTGATGTTTCCTCTCCTCACACACAACCTTTACTTCTGTCAGGGCAGACTCACAACCAGCCAGCTGCTGCTCCAGCTGAGCAACAGAAGCCTGCAATCAAATGAACATCAAATGTAATTTTAGTGCTAGAAATAAAGAAACAAGCGAGAGATAGAGAGAGCGAGAGAGAGAGAGAGAGAGAGAGCGAGAGCGAGAATGTTTTCATCTTTCTTAGGAATATGACAGAAATGACAAATGCTACAGATTGATTAGTTTATCTGTCAGCTGCTTATCGGTTACTAAATAGGTCCAACATATTCATGCAGCAGGTGCTTTACTTTTACAGAAATGACTCTCGTGTGCAAGCTGTTGGCCAACGTGTACCTCGAGTGTTGCATTATGGATGTGGAGATCTCCATTTTCGCCAATGAGTTTTTCAACACGTTGCATCACCATTTCATTAGCTGCAGTGAGCTCATCCTTCTCCTTCTGCAGCCTCGCCGCCATGTCGCCAATTTGACTTGATGGAAAAATACACATATAAAAATTCATAAGGGGAAATTGGTTGATGTGTGCGTGCTGATTCCCGATATTACAGTGAGCAACCTTTTCAACAGCTCTATGTGAACAACGAGTTTGTCTTTCTCTTCTATCTCGTGCTCTTTCTGTCGCCTCCTGGAGTCTCTTCCTAAACGGGCCTTGGTCAGCTGAGCATCCTGACGGCAACCAAGGAAATAAAAGTCAAAACAAGATCCTGAAAGATGCAACTGTGCACTAACAAGAAAATCATCAAATCATAGCCAATTTGACTTCTCACCTTTTCCTTTAATTGCGCATAGCATTTCTCAACAGCGGCTTCAAATCGCTCAGCTCTCAGTTTCTGAGCTCGAGTGGCTTTCTTCAGAGACTCTCTGTCCTGTGCTGCCTTCTCAGTCACAGAGGTAATGGATCCCTTCAGATCATCAATCTCCATCTTTTGCCCGGTCAGGGTTCTCTCCACAGCCTGAGGGGGGGGGGGGTAAAAAAAACATTAGGATATGCTAAAACACTGCACTTTTTATTTAAAGCAGTTTTCCCAAGAGAAAAGTAAATGTTTGTACCCGTAGCTGCACAGTCAGACGGTTGTTCTCGGCTTCTTTGTTGCGCAGCTGGCCCTGCAGGTGAGCGCGAGTCGCCTCCACAGTTTTGGTCGTGTGAAGTGCACTCTTGATGTTCTCCTATGAAACCCATTATAGACAGGTGCTTTAGAGTCTGCATTGCGAGCACATCTACATGGAAACTTCTGCTGTGTTTACCTGCTCTTCTCTCCGCAGATCCATCAGCTCCTCGACTTTTCTTTCTGTCTCACTCAAGTCTCTTTTTAATTGCTTCAGGAGAAAACATACAGAAATCAGTACATGATTTCAGATGGGATGTTGCATTATTTTAGAGGTCTTATGCAATAAAATTGCTCTTTTATTCTAATAAGGCAGCTGGTCTCATACAGTATATGTCTTTATATCTTTCAGTTGTCACATCGAGTACCAAATGAAGCTATGTTGTTGGACGAGCCAGCCTTGACATTAAGTTCTTAATTGATCCAATTCAACCATTCAAACCAGTATAACATTAACCTTTTTCACAGACTAGCACACATTTGTATCCCTCACACTTTAAACTAAGTTATTTCCTGTGAGTCACTGCTTAAACTTAAAGAAGCACACCTCATTTTCTCTCTCAGTCTGTGAGATCTTCTTCACTAAGATGTCCGTTTGGTGGTCGGAGTCAATTCGATCAGCCTAGAAGGAAAAACACGAGTTATCGAAAGAAAAAAAAAAAAAAAAAAAAAAAAAAAATATATATATATATATATATATATATATATATACATAAACACATTTTAAGTCAGAGTGTTTTGTGTGCTACTAATAATACAGAGCCCTGACTAACGATCCTGAGCAATAAATAAGGTGGATGTATTTTAACCAACCTCTGCATCTTGGAGCTGTTTCAGTTTCTGTCGAACAGACTTATTTATTCGTCTAAAATCCTCCAACTTCTCCAGCAAAAGTCCTCTCTGCCTTGTAATTCTGCGCTTATCGATGGCAGACTGTCTTGAATCCTTAATAACAAGAGAAAAGGAAGTTATAGGATAACGGATCGTGAACGGTTTCCAACATGGAGGGCACATGCTTGAACTCAACTTGCCAAAATTGCAAATATAACATACAGAAAATCCATCTTCCATGGCGTCTTTAAAAGACACTAGTTGTATGGCAGCAGAGTTGGCCGCTGCCTCTGCATCCATCAGTGTTTTCAGGAAAGGGCTTTTTCCACGACTAAAGGAAAAACAGGAAGGATATGTGTTACGCTGTGGCTGCCGGTGAGTGGGATGGTTGACCCCACAGGTTAGCCCATCATGTACAAATGCATTATAGGAGCTCACCAATCAATGTCAGCCTCTGGGGGTCTTGTGAGGAGACTGCTGCATGCTCTGCTCCTTCTCCCCAGCTCATGGGAGCCAACTAGATCCAAACAGCTCAGAGGGACATCCTCCCTGATGGAGCTGAAACCAAGACTGGGGAGTTCATCTTCTAGAGACATAGATCCCTCTTACTACTGACAAAACAACATAGAGTGTAAGTTAATGTTAGCACACAGAGGAGGGCAGGAAGTAAGTTCACACTAACGTGACCTTTTAAAGTATGTATGCACATTATTAAGGACAGTGTGAGAAGGTAGCAAGCCAACTAAGCCTACTCCTTATCAACAGACAGTCCAGGTTAAGTGGCTGTTAAGCTAAACGTTGTACTGCAAATAGTACATTAATGCTACCAAACAAATGCACTGACATCTGCATTATGACTATTACAACTAAAACATTACAATCCCTTTCAAAACATAAGCTTTACTTACGCTTTCGCCTTGTGTCGGTTGAGAACTAACGCTTCTACAAACTGAAGAGCCCACCCTCTCTCACAACATCGAACCTGATTGGTTACCTCTGACGCAACGTAATGACGCGGAGTTATTTGCTCACTGCTGATTTGTCCCCCAAGGACAAAGTAGGCGGGACTAAGTTTGATTAAAGTTGCGAACAGCCAATGAAAAGAAAGAAAGCAAGTTGGAAACCATAGAAACGAAAAGGAAGCTAGCTAGCTAACGTTAATGCTTGGTGGTTGGAAATGTTTAAAGCAAAAATACTCTTTATTGGCCCCAACGAGGTACGTAAATGGCTTTCCTCCACAGTGTTGTCACGTTAGCCTAGTGTTACTAGTCAGGTGTTGATAGGTACAAGTGGGAATAATATATTAATAGTTTTAATAGTACTGCATGCATCAGAAACCTAGCTTTACCCGTGTGTGTATGTTTTTGTTTATGTTAACTGAGAAAGCGTGCAGTGGTGGAATACATACTATTTACTACTTATACATTACATAACTCAAGTATTTCCCTGTTGTGCTACTTTATACTTTCAACTACACTCACTCCACTTCATGTATATGACAGCTGAGTGCTTTACAGGTTGATGTTTTCCATAAAAAAACGCAAATACATTGTTATAGATTCAACTACCTACCATTGAGTAAATAAGCTCCACCTCGACATTAAAATGCTGCATACACGTTAAGGTTTTAGTAATAATTAGCTAGTATTACAATGCACAATAACACTGAAAGATGTACTTCTCCCTGCATTATGTTTACATTCACTTACGCTTGAAGTACATTTAGGTAATATTACTTCCATACTTGTGTGTGCTGCATGGCTATACAAAACTTTTAACTTCAGTAAAAGTAGCGCACGTTTTTTTGTCTTGCAGGTAAAGCACAGGTGTAACTAATTACATTAATGATTCTGTTGCCTTTGAGGGTTTCATTAAGCCATGACATACCAGAGCCCTGAAACTGGAACATGTAGCCTGAACAGAATGCTTCATTGTTGTTAGTGATGTACTTTTCCTACTGTAAAAAGTCAAAATGTCTGTTATGAAAAGTTCCTGTTTTCAGTCAAATTAACTTGCATGTAAAAGGTAGAAAGTCATGTTAAAGAGGATTCATTTATGTTCTGATTGTTACTCATATCACTTCTAAAATCATGTTTTTCAGAGCGGGAAAACAGTTCTTGCTAATTTTCTCTCCGACACAGTAGAAAATGTGGACAGTGAATACAGACCTACTCGAGGAGTAAGGTACAAACCCCGTGTCCTCGTCACTGCTGCACAGTTCACCCAAACACATGACACCCTTGAGAAGATGGAAATAACACGAACAAACAGGCTGTTTATGGCGTCATTTAAAATATATGTATTACTGGCGGAAGTTACAAAAATGAAACTTCTACTTTTTCAAGGATACTGGAATTTGAATCGCAACCTGAAGGCAGTGGTGACAACGCAAAATGTGAGGTTGAACTTTGGGACTGTTCAGGAGATTTTAAGTAAGTTAAACATCAATTATTTTCAATGAGCAAAGGCTTAGATGATAACCAAATCCCGTACTTAAAAGTCCCGTTACTAACGATTGGATTGGTTTTCAGTGTATATACAATATATTCTCTTCACACAGATTTGAATCGTGCTGGCCTGCAATGATAAAGGACTCCAGCGGTGTGGTGATCATTTTCAATCCTGATGCTCCCAATCACCTCAAAGAGATCGAGACGTGGTACTCGATGTTCATCGCCTCTCAAAGTTTGCAGGACAAGCAGTGTTTACTCGTGGCTCATCACAAGCCCGGCAGCAGAGTAGAAGACGGACGGCTGCCTTTAGGTATTTCCACTGCAGGCCTCACAAAGCGCTTGTTTTGCGTTGTTAGTACTCTTTCTGGGCTAACATGTTCATTCTTTTGATGCAGCCTCACATTTGAGCCGACTGGCGCTTATTCACTCCAACCTGGAGGAGGAACCGGAGGATGCGAGGCAAGCTTTCTGCAGATACTTGGGAAATGTTGTAAATACGATGTCGGAAAGTCGAGAGCGAGAGGAGATGTCCATCATTACGTAGCAGCAAAATCTGTAACATATGCAGCTTAGCGAGGATGTATTTTGTCAGTAATCTCTGTTAAAGTCACATTCATGAATATTTTAATTCTACATCTTTGCTGTCATTCAGCTGTGCATGAAACGTCCACCTTGTTAACGCTTCAGCAAAATATTTTGTAGTTTGTAAATGAAATATAACTCACTCCTGTTGGAAATGAATACTCAAGAGAAACAAGTATACTTCTATGACTATGGAAACTGTTTATTTGAAAATGTGGTGCAGGTTGTTGAGAATGAGACGAGTAGAAGTGCAAAAGGAGAAAGACCAGTCCAACATTCAGACATTGTATCCAACAATGCCTCCTTTGCCAATGCACTCTCCAATGAAGAACCACATCAGCACCTCGGTGGCCACGAGTCCATTCCTAAAGGCGTCCTACAAAACAAAGCAAGAAAATATAAATTATTCAACTCAAGACAACTGATTTAATGACAGTCTAAAGATTTAGAAAATGAATTATGGTAGTTTATATTTAAGGCCTGACAATACATGAAAGAATAAATATAGAGTGGGAAAAGTCCCTATCCATGCATACAGATACGCACTACCAGTCACAGACGACACACTATGGACACACACACTAACAGAATACATATTTCATTGCAGATGTTTATGAAGTTTGTTATTGTTAACTTCTGACAGTCTTTGCACAAAGTGTTTTTCTGCTCATTTTCCACTGAACTAACAGACTTCCTACACTGGTAGTTTACTCATGAGGCCCACTAGGTTTACTTCTATTGTCACGGTACAGTTATTCAGTCATTTCTATTGTATATGCAGATAAAATCAACTGTATGACTGGTGTAAACAACAGGACTGGACAGCCAAGGAACTGCTGACCATCTGGCCTTTACAACTTCTGTCAGATCCAGAAAGGTTTATGGCCTTCTGTAAAATAACATGCTTACTGTGTATACAGTGTGCAGCATCTCTGCATCTTTACTTTGGCAGAATGACTTCAGGGCTTTTACTGTCACTACAGCTACTTCCATTGATTATTTTCAAATTACTAAAATAAACATCAGTCAATAATGTCACAAAATATAAAAAAGCACGTCTCTGATCCCGAGGTTGCATATTCAAATAGCTTGCATTGTCTGTCCAACAGTCCAAAAAATGACAGATATCCCTTTATCACATCAAACGGAGCAAGGCAGTAAATAGTCTGAGTGAAGAAGCTGAAATCCACCAATCAAACCAAGTGTTTGTCATTATCAATATTCAAAATTGTTTTTATTGTCTGCTGCCTAATGGTTCATGGACTCATTGTTCTGTACTGACAACACGTAATTACAGGCTGTATTTCTACAACAAACTGTAGATTATAACTGTTCCTAATTCATGCCATTCAAGCCACACAAACAAAAACAATACATACACATACACATATTGCTGAGCACTCAACTCACGGTTCAGACGCACACAAAAAAGAAAGTGATTCTCACACTTGCAGGGACTCACCTTTACTGTCGTTTGTCCCAACCGTCCTGACTGCACGCTCTTGATGAGGCCCGATGCGGCCTCTATGGCTTTGGGGATCTCAGCAGGGGACGGTGGGACGAGCTCCACGCGCGCATAGTGCCAGAAGGTCGCGAGTCGGGGTTTGGAGTATGTGACAGCGGCTGCGAATGATTCAAACGGAAACGGCGTTGGCTAATGCACAGCAAAGTCTCGGAGCCATTTCATGTTGTTCTAAAGACAACCTGTCGCAGTGGTTGATTCATGTATCGACACCTGCGTTGACCAAAGGTCACACAGAAGCTGTAACAACGTCACCGAGCTCGTGCTGCACGGTGTTCTCCACTTCCTCAGTTTATAATTGGTTAAAAAAAAGTACGAAAGTAAACTTACCACCGACTAAAGTTGGTACTTTTGCAACGAGTTTCTGAACTGCCTGAGCCATAATGAAGAGAGAGAGAGAGAGTCCAAGAAACTAGAAGAAGGAAGAAAGAGAAAAGTGGCGTGAGAGGTTTCCGGGCCGTTGATTTCAAAATAAAAGGAGTTACGCGAAAAATGCGGTTAATATATTTATTTTCAAAATAAAATGTCTTGAAAAGTTATAAATTGAGTAAATTAAATATTTCAGACATGTGAGTGTAGCCATACAGGAGCTATAAGACAAACTGGACCATCATCCATTATTTCATAAAGCAGGCAAGTACAGCAACCTTGTTATAGCTCAAACACAGAGGCAATTCAAAGTATACAAGACAAAGAACTGTATGAAACTGGTATTTAACATGCAGTAAAAACAAAATGAAGGAAATGAAAGTGCAGTGCCAATCAATCAGTGGCACAGCAGGGAAGTTAAAGAGACATTTAAATCAAACTGAGTCATTAAAGTGGTTTAATAACTCTGATTTAAACAAAGGAAATGATTTTCATGCTGATTTCCCTTCAACCATTGTTTCAACCAAACATGCCTCTATAATATAGTTGTTTTCAATACAAGACTGCCATGAGGATGACATCCACTGTATGAAAATCCAGAAATTGGTTCACAAAATGGGTTAATTGTTAGAATGTGTATTGTGTCAAAGTGAGAGAAAGAAAGGAGTGAAAAGCAAAGACAAAGTGTGTGTACAACACGGATGACTAACTCATTACTCACTCTCTGGCTCAGCCTGCAGCCCACATTCAACACAAAAAACTGGTGCTGTAACAATGTTCGAACACTATTGCAGGTTAGACCTGCATTCCACAGCAAACACCCAACTACTGGTCCCTTCTGTTTGATTTACAATCTTACAGTAATTTGCTGTACCGGCAAGATATATGTGAGAAGACTGTAATTAATGCCTCCTCATCCAACAGGAATATATCAAACTTTGACATAAAAGATAGCTGTGAGTGTTCAGATGTTCTCACCCCAATTTCCAAATATTTGCAGAGATCAATGCAGAAACAGGTCTGAGAGCAGCTTGCCTGCTGCAGTGAACATGAAGTGTAATTCATTTTTCAAAGGATTAATCACTAGAGGGAGCTCTCTAATAGGTTACAATACCAAAAGCATTTAGCGAGAGATAATGAACAGGAAACTGCCTTTGCTTTAAACCCCAATATATGATAAACAACTTTTTTTATTCTGCAAAAGAATGGTTTGATTGCCAGACTTTTATTATCATGTCTGTTGTTGCTTTATGCACTTTTATGTTCAGCCCATTGAGCTTATACCTGCAATGAAATGTGCTATAAAAAAGGGGGTTGGCCTTGCCTCAAGGGGGAGTCCTTCATCTCCTAATAGAGACTTGGGTGGTTTCATAATTTATAACTGCACAGAACTTTATTTTGAACTCAAATTGTCACGGTTTCCAAAAATACCAAATGCGTCAGCCTGAATTACGAGGTAATGTAATCAAAGAAACAACAACAAAGAAGCATCAATGATTTTCCATCTCAGCCATGAAAATGTCATCTTGCATTTCATTCAGTAACAGATGTGCTATGGTCGCAGTGTGGGAAAAAGTGGGTCACTTTAGGTGGCAGGCTTTATTTTGAAACGTTAATGCAGTGAAACAATAGCAGTGAGGTTTTTTTTTGGGTGCATAAAGTATAAATCAATATTTGGAGCTCTATGGCTCGCTATGGAGCATTTTTTTGATGAATGAGTCTCCGTTAGGACAGATGTGCACGTGCATACACAGGTGGCGATGCCATACGCACTTCTGCCAATGGCTTCAGAAATGTAGCTAATGGGCCAGCAGAGAAGAAGACTGCAAGCTAGCAGACACGAGTGTAAACAAGGTTTAAATCTTTAAAAAAAACAAATCCGCTTTGCAAATGTTTTATGAGGAAGGAAATGTATTAAACTAGTTTGTTAGATCTCACAGAGACACACAGTGTGTTTTTCTGCTTTAATGCACTTGAACGACATGACAGTGTGTCAACCTTTACATCATATTCTTGGCAAGAAAGCAAACTTCTTCTTTCTTTGAGGTAAGAGCAGAATACATTTGAAGACAAAGCATTAATTAACATAAAATACATAATTGCTGGCTTTTGGCTGACACATTCAAACTGAGTAACTTTCCGAAAAGTGTGTTAGGGGAATTAACTTAAATTCTTTAATGAAAAAAGATAAGAAACCAATTTGGAGGAGCATAAAAGTCGTTGTGCCCTCTAGATATCCATGTGACCCTGCAGCACAATGTTCTTCAGCGGTGATGTGTTAGTTCTAAACAGTGAATACAGAAGGACTGTGTGAGTCATAGACAGACCGAGACAAATGGAAATATACATAGACAGGCAGGGAGAGAAAAACAGACGTGAGAGGAGGCTGCAGTGACTAAGTAAATATAGCCTTTCATGGTCTAAGACGGCTTGTAGAGGCCACAGTCTATGATACAGGCAGATGAGATTAAAACAAATGACATCACCGCCTCGGCCACAAACAGACACACATTTGGTGATACAGCAATCAGTCTTAGTCCTCCGCGGTATGAAGACAGATTAGGACATCATCCAATTCCGTGTGTGGGTCAGTGGGGAATTGTCAAGATTATTGCCAAGAGTGAGATGATGAAGTTATTTGCTTTATTCTTACATGTAGTAACTATACTTCCGAATTTGAAACCAAACAGACGAATTCATCGCATTCGTCTTGCTGTTCTTTCTAATTATCATCTTCATCCTTATCAGTGTTTCTCGCTCATTGTCTTCTGTCGGAGACATGTCCAGATAGTATCTTGTGTCCACATATCCTGACTGTTTGAAGATAATTCAGAAACAGACTGCGGTTTACAAACTTGTATAAAAATTGATCTTCGCTCTGATTAGATTTCGCTTCCCCGCTTGCACATTTTTTATCTGTGGTCGTGCAGCTGGAGAAGAGGATTATTGTGTGTATTTGAATATTGGATAAAGCTATAAAACTCAAAAAATGCCCCAAACACCACAGCTGGGGTTCATTCCAACCTGCATGTTCATTTGTGACCTGATCAGCCAGCACACATTTTAATGTGTGAACAAGCTCCCTGATTTTATTTTTTTTTGTCAAGTGACTTCTTGGAGTCATTTATTATTATTTTAAAATGGTGTTAGATCCCTCTCACCGTCACTCGGGAATATATAAAAAAACAGGCTTCGAGAGAGAACATTATCAGACGTATTGCTTTCATCCTGAATGTTTCACACAGAGCGACAAACTGCTTCAGCGCTCATTGTTGACGCCGTGTGACGATGCAGATGCACCGCACCATCTGCAAACAGCAGATGAGCCACTGTAACGTCAGCAAGAAATATTTCTCCAGAAATAAAGCTCAGGTGAATAGCTTCTTCATTCATAAGGTGGAATGCATTATTTCTCAGAATGGGTGTTAAGGAGTTCTTATGACTGTTAAATGGATTCAAAGCATACAAGCTGCAGACAACCCATTGACATTCTCTTCTCACGGCTACAGTCCATACCTTTTGGCCTGAAGGCGTCCCTTTTCAAAAATCTGTTTGTGGTAAGAATCTTTGAAATATTTTAGCTGTTGAGGCAGTTTACCCATAAAGCACCCTTGAAGCCTTGAAGCCATTACAGACGACACACTTAGTTTCTGGGTTTTAAAGTGCAGCTCATTCCTTACGCACTCTCCTGTTAAGCTCATGGAAGCGGTCGGGTACATAAAGCATTTTTCTTTCTCTTTGAGCTGCCAATCAAACTAATCGGTGACTGTATGTGTTGGCTGCTTGGCAGATGATTCATCCCCTGGCAGGTAAAGATGTCAGGGAGAAATCTTTGCTTCATTGGACATTTATTTTCTCTGCAACAGCTAAACACACTAACCTATCAGAAACTGCTGTATGTTAAACACTTTTAGGACTGACTTACTCATAACACATTATAAAAGGAGAAGAAGAAATGCACTTGCCGAGCAACTTTAAAGCTACAAACAACTTATAATGCTCAACGTAGGATAAACATTCTGTAATACAGGGATTTATCTCCTCAGATATAATATTACCCTCACTTTTTCAAACATAATTTCCTGAAACAAAATACTACGGTGTATGAAACACCCCCCTTTGCAATGAGGCAACGTATTAACCTATTGACTGCTGAGACAGTCCTGCTTCGCTTCGCTGCTCCCAATGCTGTTGTTCAAATAACTTTTAATAACCTTGCTTACTACAATCCAGTTATGCGGCTTTATGATGGCTTTTGTGGAGGAATAATTGTGTCATATCAGCTGAGGGCCAAAAACACACTTGAAAATGGAATATAATATTACAAAGTATGTTTTCTTTTGTGTATAGTCAATCCCCATAAACCTCTATGGTAAAATGGCAAACATTACAACAGAAATGTTTACAGCCTGGTGTAAAGTACGGTTTTCGTCATATGCCTGTTCATGACAACTGGTCGTGGAGGAATTGTTATGTAACTGACCTGTTTAAATTATATTAAGGCTTAAAGTTAGGGATACTTGAGGCCATGGCCGCTTCGAGTGGCAGGTGGTTGCCGTACGAGGTCGCTAGCTGCTAGCTAGCTGCTAGCTAGCTGCTAGCTAGCTGCTAGCTATCTGCTCTGCTGCTGTGTCGTCACTGCCAAGATGGCGACGGTCGGAACCACCCACTTTGAGCTACATAACCGTTCTTCAGAACTCTATAGGTGACGTCACGGAGAATACATCCAAATACAGTCCATGATAATCAACTTAAAATAAACATCATTGTGTTTTCGTTCCCTTAGAATGAGCTGTTAATATCTGCATAATGAGTCTGCGATAAGCGATCTGCAACCTCACCGCCAGATGCTGCCAAATCCTTCACACTGGACCTTTAAGTAAGTGTTCCCTGTTTGTGCTGACATGCACATTGTGAGCTGATATATATCTCAGTGTTTGTGTGCTAATACCATAAGTTACGAGGTTGCCGATCCAGCTGTCTGTTTCTGTTTCAGTTTTATGTTTCTCACGCTGATCTGCTTTTTTGGGTGATGTCAAGGAATCTGTCTGCCTGCTGATTTATGCTCCTATGCTGCTG